TGTCGATTCACTCGGATTGAATTATTGTGTTTTAAAAGACACCGCGGACAACTTCCCCTGCGACTTTGGCGAGTTAGGCGCGCGAAGCGTAGCAGTGCACCGTCGCAAAATCAAACGAAGTTCAGCTGGATTTCTTTGGCGTGTTTTGATGTTTAGTGGTGTTGACAAAAATAATTCGTCAATGTGTGACTATTCGCTGATTTGATTGACGATTTTAACAGTGCTGACTGCTGCTGCTCCGCTGTCATGCGGGCAATAAGTTCATATCACACACATGATGGATAAAAATCATTTTTTTTTAAATAATTAGAGGACATTTCTGGAAGCAGGTTGACCACGCCATCCACCCCACTCGCCGCCACGCCCCACCCCTCCGCCGACGCCGCTCTTTTTTTTTGAGTGGCCACGTGGCGGGCAGCTCTGAAGTGTTTCCGCTGTCCCGCCGGCCGGATCCGCTAAACAGGGGAAACTTGGAGGGCGACAACAACACTCTCGACCCGCAAACAGCAAAAATACTCTCAGCGTGACGCCGTGGAGGAGTGGGCCGTCGCGAGGCAGGGAGAACGCCTCGCCCCGGCAGAGAGAGAGAGAGAGAGAGAGAGAGAGAGAGAGAGAGAGAGAGAGAGAGAGAGAGAGAGAGAGAGAGAGAGAGAGAGAGAGAGCGACGTGCGGAATGGCTGCCCTGCGGTCGCTCCCACGCCCCAGTCGGCATGCGGATAGTGGCCTTTGGGCCTTTGGGGCGGGTACACCGCAAGATGGACAGCCGGCCCGAGAGACCCCCCAGCCTCTCCAGAGCAACGGCCAGCCTCTCTGGCGCCTCTCTCGGATCAAGAACTCATTTATGTCGGTGTAGAACGGGAGTCTCACTATGACCAGTCCGGGAGTCTCCAAATCGACAACCCAGTCTCTCTACAACGACGGTTCTAGAGAGACAGGCCCTCCCGCCTCTCTAGACAGGTCCGCGGCCCCCGAAATCCTTGAGCGGCGTTCGGTCCCGCGCAGCAAATCATTCAATCCAGACGCTGTCGGCGGTTTCGGCCGCGCGGCGACACGGCGCGCCGGCCGCATTGCGCATCGCCACGTCCGGGAATGAAAAGGGAGGAAAAAGGGGAGGGGGAGCAGTGGCGCCACATTTAAAAGTCAATCGTCTGCCCCCTCCCCCCGCTTTGTGGCCTTCCTCCCAATACGCCGTACCGATCACTGTATGAGGCCGGCGCGCGCCGAGCGGAGCCGAGCGGAGCCGAGCGCCGCGGCGGCGCCGTGGCGCACGCAGATGGCACGCATACGTACGGCGACCTGCTTGGGATTGCATTCCCTTTTCTGCGGATTGAGTCGGTCGGAATTGAGAGCTCAGTGCGGCTTTGCGAGCGACTGCCAATCCAAAGCCACAGCCAAGAAACAAAACTCAATCAAAACAAAATTTGCACTGGTGAAACAAAGGCATTAACATTATGTCCTTTAAGGGCGTAAGCGATTTACGCCCTTGGAGCGGCGTGAATCGTTAATGCCTTTTGGAAGGGCATTAAAATTTTGCTTAAAATTCCTCTTCCCACGCCCTTTGGAAGGGCATAAAACGATTTACGCGGGGGCGTAAAGGAGTATTTATGCCCTAAAGGGCGTAATTTTTATGCATTTGTTTTACCAGTGTGATTAAGCTTTGTAATTTTTTTTTTGCAGTGGGGTTGGAATGGAACGGCCCGGGATGCATGGGGCAGCGCGACGGCGAGACGTGTCGCAGACGGGTAGGACACAGGCATTCGGCGGCGACGGAAAGCGCAGACACGCCTCGTGTCCCCCCCCCCCCCCCCGCCAGGCCTGCGGGCCGATGCCGAAAAGTGTTTCCGTCGCTCTGTCTCTCTCAAGGGTCATCGTGCCACGCCGGGCGCGAGAGAGAGGGCAAGACTGCTTAATCGATGCCATAACTGCGATGCGCTGCGCACCGCGCGGCAATGGCGGCGATGGCGGGGAGGGGCGTAGTCTTAATGCTGTATCGACCACTTGAAGCCACCACGATCGCGCGCGACGGCCCCGCCCCGCCCCGCCTCACCCCGCCCGGCACACCCCGCCCCCACCATTAACTCGCTCCCTTGTCAAACTTGCGCCGAGTGGCGGTGTACCTCCCGCGGCGGCGCGGTGGAGGCGGAGGAAGATGATGTTTGCCATCGTGCATTAAACTGTGAGCAGTTGTTTGTTTCTGCGGTGGAACGTTGACGCGCGGCCGCCTGACTACACTGGGGGAACTTTATGTGTCCGTCCAACAGCTGTCTCTCCACCCGATGTTGGTGCACCATCTCGCGGAAGTTTGGAGCGTTGGCCGTGTTTCGACCGAGTGTCCAGTGCGTGGCGCGACCACGGTGACTCCGCCAGGGCCTTGTTGTGGCCGCGAGGACGGCGAGGACGGCCTGCCGGCATTCCAAGATGGCGCCGCTGCACTGCCCTGCCATGCCAGGCACAACGCGGCACTACGCGGCGAGGCTAGCCGAGCGAGCCGCCTGCCTGGCGTCCAGAGACCGATCTGGCGCTACCTTCGCGCGGTTTAGGTTTAGGGCCTCGCAGTGTGCCTTGCGCAAGAAGTGCGCGACAGGCCTGCGCGGGGCTCGGCTCCAGTCTGACAGTGCTTTGTGGCTCTGTCCCACTCATCGGGCGTCCCGTAGTGGAGCGAGAGAGACAGAGCGACGAAGCAGTGTTCGGTCGCACTCGTCGCCGTTCCTCACTGCAGTGAGTGCCCGTTTCAAAAAGTGTTGCCGCCTCGCGGAGGAGGTGCCGAAGTGCGTTACGGTGGTGCGTGCCCGGCTGGGTGGGCTGCGGATAGAAATAGCTTCCTAATTGGTCAAACAGTGCGGCAGCAGTGCGGCAGCCTTCCGCAGGATTCCCAGTGTAATGACGTTCGCTGGCCGTGGTCTCGCTCATCCGCGGCGCTCTGGAAGTCGCCAGTGCTTTCGTCGCTCTGTCTCTCTCGCGCCCCTCCGGGACCGTCCGGGCCGCTCCAGGCGTGCGAGAGAGAGGTTCCGAGGGACGGCGCCTGGCGGCCGGCGGGCGGGCAGTCCCGGGGACGGGGCTGCGGGCGGGCTGCCTACCGGGCGCGGCGTTCTCGGCGGTTCTCGGCCCACCCCGTGGTGCGGATTGCGGATGCGCGCGTCGAGCGACCGGCCAGACAGCGCAGGCTGCTTTCGCTGCTTCGTCGCTCTGTCTCTCTCGCACTCCTGTGGAAGTTCGGCAGGGGTGCGAGAGAGACAGAGCGACAGATTCGTCTCGTCACCCCGGGACGGTTTTAGCCGACGCCGGCGCGTTCGGAATAAACCCTACGGTGTGCCACGCCGCGGTCTGCGGATCGAAATCGGGTAAGCCGGCCCGGAATGCGCCGGGCAGCGCTCTGTCTCTCCCGCACTCGCAGCGCGATAGGAGTGGGAGTGCGAGAGAGACAGAGCGACGCGCAGCGAGCGCACAAAGCGCGCCAGCGAAGCCAACACACGCTAATTCAGGCTCGGCCTAATGAGACAGAGATAACCAAACTAGCTTATTTAACGGCGCGCTGTGTCACGAGCCAGAGAGTGCGAGAGAGAGGACAGCATTCCCCGGGGTGCAATGCGTGAGGTGAGCGGCTGCATTTCACAGCCGAGAGGCGTTTTCGTGTTTTTTCGCCGCTGGTGCCTGCCGGTGTCGCAGTTGACTCCCGCAGTCCGTTCGCTCCGCCACCGGCCTTATGTTTTCGATCCCATTTCGGCTGATAGATGACGCCCCCCCCCCCCATCCCCCTGCCCCGCCGCCCCACGCTTTCTTCCACCGCGCCGGCCGTGCCGCCAATGCGCCGCGATAGGGGCCTACAGTGTATCGGCGGTGCGGCGCGTTGCGGCGCTTCCAGGAAGAACACACGGTGCGACGTGACGTGCACACCAGGTGCAGCGGCCGGCGTACCGCACCGCGGCGGCGGCAGGCCGGCAGGGCAGGGCGGTGCAGTGACCAACCAGCGGCATTTAGGACGATTGAACCGCGGCGGGGACAAAAGATCGACCGCCAAAAATTTGACTTCTGCCATTGCTGCCGGGTATAACCATAGGGTAAGGCGCGCTCATTACACCTGCTGCTCATACAGTTCCGCGTGACATCCTTTGAAATTTCGTTCCGCGTGTCTATGAGCCGCACGACTAGGAGGAAACTCTCCTGCTTCTAAAGAACAAGGGCGACCTCCGGGAGGACGTCGTAGACGTGGTGCACGGCGCGGGCACGCTCGGGCGTTCACGTCTCCGCGCGGCGCAGCGGCGGCGGGGCAGCCGATAGAAATATTAGCGGCTTATCATCATTGGAGGATCGGCGCGCCAGAAGTGGCGGCGGGGGCCGCCAACCACACAGAGACCGTCCGTCCGCTGCCCGGCGACGGCACGGCGCGGCTGTCAAAGCCAAAGGCAGCCAAAGGCAGCCAAAGCCCCGGACAACAAGAAAAGGAAAGGCATTCCATAGCGCGGCGCGGCGACGTTGGGGTGTCCATCTTTCATGTCGTTGTTTTACGGGGCGGTGTAGCACTCGGGGACCGCGGCGGCAAAACCTGCTGCGCGGGCGTGCGTGTGTGTGTGTGTGTGCGTGTGTGTGTGTGCGTGTGTGTGTGTATATGTGTGTGTTTATTTGTTTGTGTTTGTGTGTGTGTGTGTGTGTGTGTCCCGCTTAGTTATAGCAGGCCGGGTCCGGCACCGTGTATCGGCCGCGCCGGACCGAACACGAGCATCAATTAGTAACCCCTTAGCTCCAGTGGGCTTAACTGCCTTAACGTGCGCACGGTAGCACCACCGAGCGAGCGGCGTGGCCGTCGAATTTCGATTTGATTACGGAGCTAAAACAAACGCCAAAGGGCTGGTCTGAGACGGCGGCGTGCGTGTTGCCCCCGCGTGAGCCGATGTCAGAGAAATGGGCCTAACACTTCGAACTCGTGGACCAGTGTGGAGGCGCCGGGCTGGCGGACTGCCGCGCGCGTCCCGCGGGGCGGGGCGGGATAGGACGCCACTCACCCTGTCATACTGGTGCGAGAAGGGCGGGAAGGCCGCCGCCCTGGCCGAGGAGTGCGCGGCGGCGCTGGGCCGCTGGTAGAGGTAGGGGTAGTAGGCCTGGTACACCACTTCCGGGCAGCTCATAGTCATGGACGAGGCCTGGGGACGGTCCGCGCTGGCCGCGGCGCGCCCGGGCTCCAGAACGACGTGGACGACGTCAACGCGGTCCTCGACACGGCCGGGGCCAGCAGCCTAGAGGCCTTCCGGGCCGTGTGCCGGCTCCCGTTCCGGGGCGTGTGCCGGGCCCCCTGTCGGGCCCGCCTGGTCGCGCCCAGGTCACCGTCGTACGGCCGCCCCCGGAGCGGGCGGGCGGCGTCGCGGCACCATCACTCACTGCACTCCACTGCACCTTCACTGCACTTCACTGCACTGCACTTCACTGCACTGCACTCGCGCCAACCCGCGACCACGACCACGATCAAATTGGGCTTGACGGCGCGCCGGTCGGTCCTCTGCTCGCGACGCGCGACGCTCGTCCGGCGGCAGTCACACGCTCACTGAGGACGAAGGATGCCTGGCCGCCTCGCCTCCCTCCCCTCTCCGTCGCCGGCCCGGCTGGGGGCGGGGCGCGCACCCCCCTCCACCACAAGTACCAGACAGTGGTGAGGAGCCTACACACTAAACGTTTATGTACTTTTTGCGTGCACGATTATGCACGATATAAACACAAAGGCCTCTGACGTGCGTTTTGCACGGTCTGCTGCACGGCGCGCACTGAATCAGCCACTGCAAATTTTTACATCGGCTTTAATCAAGAGGTGCGGGAAGCTTTCAAAACTGATTCGACACAATTTGTGACATTTTCGTATTAATTTTCGTTTGTGTTCGAAATGATCTCCCGGTCATTTGTGCAGAAATATCATGAATCGAAGGAAAGTAAGCGAGTGCTTTTAGTCACCTCGTCGCCGCATTCCAGAGTCACTGCGCAGGCTTCCTCTCGGTCCATTGCTTCAAGGCGTTTACGATAAAGAGACCGTGCATTGCGCGCTTCCAACTAGACACCCCTAATCTACCCTTATCGTAAATACGAGGCCAGGTTGGCGCGTTTGCGTGTTCCTACTCATTAGCCGGGACGGAGGACGGACAAGTCGCATCGCGTTCCTCCTGCCCCACACTGCTCTAGTAGTTTGATTCCTTTTTCGCGAGCCACAGCCTCTTTTTCTCTTCCCTATCGCGCGCGAACCGCAAACCTCCGCTGGGCGCGCAGTTTTTCCATAGTAAAGCTGCAGCCAGCGGGCAGGCACCCAGTGCCGCATGAAGTGCGAGTGTGTCTTGTGTCGTCACAGGAGCGCATGCCACGAAAAAGTTCCAAAATGCTTCGTCTATTCAGTGAGAAATCGGGACTCCCCCCCCCTCTACCTGCAAAGTAATCATCGGCTCCACGATGAGTAAATTGTGTCCCTTGGGCGTGATTGTGTCTCTCGGGCGTAAGTGGGGCATTAACTTTTCTGAGACGAATAATTACAAAGGGGTCGAACAATCACGACAGCAAAAATCGGAACGGAAACTTCTCCGGACGCTTTTCAATATCCACGGCTGCCAAACTTGTTCGCCCCTTCCCCTTCCTGCCGAGGAGTATTCGGGCGGGCAGGGCAGTCGCCACTGTGCGAAAGGGGTGACCGTCGTCTCGGCCGCCCCCCAGTGGGGCCCCCAGTGGGGCCCGCACCCCTTTCCCCTCTGACAGCGACGGTCAACACGGCCACCGCGCAAGTCGATCCGAATTCGGCATTACTTTCGTTGTCCGCGCCGCCTTGCCGCTCGCCCGCCACCCCGAAGCGAAGGCCCCGCTCAAGGTCCCGAAGGCCCCGACGGCCGTGGCGGCCCTGACGGCGGCGGCCCTGACGGCGGCGGCCCCCGCCCTCGCCTCTGCTCGCCTCACGCCGGCCCCGGCGGCTCAATTCTCAATCAGCGCGTCGCCGGACGGACGGCCGGGACGGCTGGGACGGCGAGGACGGCGCCGACACGTCACCACGCCCCGCCACGCCCCGCCACGCCTCCCCGCCGCGCCGCCAATGAGAAGACTGCTGGCGGCGCGGCGCGCCAATGGCCGCCCGCCGCCCCCCTCCCCTCCCCCTGCCGCCGCTACCCCTTCCCTGGCCGGCACTGCTGGCACTGCCAGGCGCAGCGCGGCAGGCCGCTGCTGCTGGCGCTGCCGGCCCCTCGGGCTGCACGCTGCCGCCACGCTGCCGCCACGCTGCCGCCACGCTGCCGCCGCCTTCCGGTGCAGGCCCTGCAGGCCCTGCAGGCCCTGGCCGTGCCTTCGCGCCGCCGCTCGCCACCCCTGCAATAAACACCCCTCGACGTCGGCCAGTCGGCCGCGCGTCGGCAGCTGCGCGCCCCGGCCGCCCGCCGGACACCCACCTGGAATTCCATTTTGGCCCCTGTTTTATTCGTTTTGTCGTTGTTTTCGTGTTGTTTTTTTTTAAGGGTGGTCGCAGGAATGGCTCGCTGGATCCGAGGAGCAACGAAAATTGAAGCCATGGCGTACCTAGAGCGCATCAGGGGCAACAACAAAAAACGGCCAGGCGGACGGACAATCGGGCAGAGACCATATTTGTTTATCTATTCCGCCAGGTGGGGCGGGACCGCGCGCCGCGCTTCCCCCACTCTGAGGACCCGCCGCAGATTATCAATATTTTGCTGCGCGTGTCGTCGAGTTCCTTAGGGAGTAGGCAGCGCGCGCCCCGCCGCGCCCCGCGCCGTAGCATTACGTGTCTCTTCATTAGTCGCGGCGGCGGTACTGATCCAGCCGCCTTTTTTCCACCGAAAAGTCAACATTTTTTTCCCTGTTGCGCAGCGGCTCTTTATTTTGTTGGTTGCGAGAAAGCCAGAAAGCCCCCGAGCTGAAACAGCAGCCTGCAGCCCCGCAGCCTTGGCCGCGTGTTTACGGACGCGTCTTAATTGCCACCGAGGTATTTCGGCCGCTTTACGAACTGTCGCCTCGCCTCGCCGGATTCGGATTCGGATTGCATTCGTCCCTTCCTTTCGTCACGCTGTCTCTGTCGCGCCCTCACGGGACGCCCGGTGAGTGCGAGGGAGAAGGACCGATCCGAGCAATGTTCGGAATCGCCGTGGGCCTTCCCTGCAAGGCACCGCGGACGAAACTACGAGAAGAAAGGTGAAAGTTTGAGACACCTTCGAGGGGAGGTTTTGCTGTCTGTTAGAAACAATTGATCGCCAAGCCAGGAGGCCAAGTCCGTTCGCAATCTTCGAAATAATGAACAGAAAAGAGGCACTCTATCGCAGCCCCCGTGGCGGTGACAGGCAGATGGCGCACTCTGGTGGTGGCGCTTAGCAGCGGCATCTCAGAGGCAGAGAAGATACCCCGCGCCGGCAGTGACCGCAGCGTGGAGTCTCGCCGCCCGTGTCGGGGTGTCTCTGCATCGGTCCGGATGAGAAATTGCTGCCGCCACTCCCGGGTTCTGCCGGGTTCGGCCAGGCCGCCCAAACGGGTCCAGCGGGCGTCTAGGCCCTCGCTGTCTTCCTCGACGCCGTGCCTCAGCTATCCGCAGCCAGCCTTGCTGTGCTGGCTCAGCTTCCACAGAGCCCACTCGGGCCTCTTGGCGGCGAAGGAGCGGGCGACGCTCAGCCAGAGCGCAGTCTGCTCGCCTGGAAGCGGAGACAAGGAGACGTTGCCTTGCCACTCGCCGACGTCCAGGGAACGGCCAGGCTGCCGGACTCACAGTAGACCGTCATGCCGACCAGCACCAGGGGCAGCCCGGCCGCCATGTCCGTGCTCAGGATGTGGTGGGCCAGCGCCAGCACGCTCGGCCCTTGCAGCAGCAGCAGCCCCTGCGCCGTGAGCAGCAGCCAGGGCAGCAGCAGCAGCGGCTGCGACTTGGCCAACCAAAAGTATGGCGTTGGCTCGGTTCCAGGGGCAGGATGGGTCTACGAACACGAGGGGCCTATAGCGCCCGCCAGGTACTTACGGTGTAGTCAGCAACCCTCTGGGCGGCGGTGGACAGCACGCAGGCCACGGCGTGAGCCGAGTAGAGCGTGAAGCGCAGGCCTGGAGAGCGACAGTGGTTGGTCTCTCTGTCTCTCTCACACTCGCCCACGGGACGTGTGCGAGAGAGACAGAGCGGCGGCCCGGCGGGTCCAAGGGGAAGCAGACTCACTCCCACCCGCCTTGCCCTCGATGATGGAGTCCGGCGCGGCCTCCACGGCGGTGCAGCTCATGGCGACCGTGATCTGTGCACGGAAAGGGCAAGGACGGTGTTGTTGACCACGCCAAGGAGTCCAGAACAAGTGAAGCTCTATACGAAGGCGCTCGCACCAGCAGGGCGGCTGTTTCGATCCCAGGTGCTACGAATCCCCAGGCCCGCCGCACTGCAAGCAATGCACGAATATTTTGACTCGTAACGACACGGTTTGGTACTTGTGCTTGTATGTTCGCCGAGGTGTGACAGAATTAGCGTTTGTTTGAACAAATTTACAGCATGCTGTCTTACAGATGGTCATTCCTTTGCTGTCGGTGCTCATATTCGTTCCAACGCGATCAAAACAAAAGAAACCCCAACTGAAAAATGGCGCAAATGGGCCAACAATGCGCTTCAGGTTGTAGTTTCCTTGGGACCCAGAGTCAGAGGACTGATGTCACACCGTTCCGCTCTCTCTCAAACTCTGTCTTGGGCGAGAGAGATGGCTTGCAACCTCCGGTTAATCGCTGTGCAGCGAGGAGTCTTGTGTTACGGGTGGCTGAACGCTACAGGTGCCTGGGAGGTAGGCATCCCTTTCGACGCCTGCCTCGCCGTCCCGGGCGCCACCTGGTGGCGGTTCGGTCAACTGCCCCGGCGGCACCAGGAATACCCCGTCCAGGCAGTGACTTTTTAACGGCCGGTTAGCGAGGCGCAGTGAAGTTAAGGTTACCGGAGGGTTTTGTCATTCACCACGTCCAAGTTAACCAACGGCCGGTTAACGCAGATGAGGTAGAGCAACAGGGGACATGACCTTCGAACTGTGTGCACTCTCTCCAGGTGTCATATGTTTAAAAACGGTAGACAACAATAAACAGAGTAAAAACAAAAACTTCAAATTAAATATATTTTTTGTTATTTACAAACTGTACACAAATTACGCATGTTCTGTTATGTTCAGAGTTGTACATTCTTTATATGTTGTTAACTTCCATTTACGGTATGTACAATTAAATAGGAAAAACTTTGCTTTCTATCAAGTCTTGGAGTGCTATAAACACTCATGTATGTCGACCCACGATGTGCATGTCTTGCAGCGAACGTAGCAGCACCAGTAGTACTTGCATTGACACCTCTCCACCTTTTCCACCGTGACAGTACGGAAGCCTCGCCCACAGCACATGTCCTGGCAACTGTCGAACCCATTGGAGCTGGCGTTGCAGGACCTGGAAGACGGACAACACAAACAAGCATAAGTTATCGCTTTGTAGGGTGGAGTGGAGTGGCAGTCTAGGGGGCATTACCTGCCGCGAGTACCCAGACTCCCGGTGCGCGGGTCGGGCAGGCAGTAGTCGGGGCTCTTGGTGAGGAAGATGAGGTCGTCGTGCGAGAAGGAGCGCGGCGACGCGGCGCTGGGGGCGGCGCTGGGGGCGGCGCTGGGGGCGGGCAGGGGGGCGGGCACGAGGCGGCGGCCCACCCCCGGCCCGGACGGCACGGAGCGCCGCGTCACCACCTCCACGGCGGCGGCGAAGCGTCGCTGCAGCCGCAGCCCGATGTCCGCGAGGCGAGGCAGGGCGCGCCAGCACGTCTTGATGTTGCAGGAGCCGGACACGCCGTGGCACTTGCACTGCGTCGTCTCGCTGGACTCCACCGCCTGCGGGCAGCATGCGGGGGAAGTCTTTACCAGTGGCCTGTGCAAAGTGGCGGAGTCGCACTCGCTAGGAGTGCGAGAGAAACAGGGCGACGAAGCCGCCGCCGAGGTAGTACTCACCCTGCGGCCGGCGCGGTTGTTGTGGATGTTGACGGCGCCGACGCGGCCGCCCTTGGCCCGTCCCAGACGCCGCCGTCGTCCGTTCCTCTCGCCGTCGACGCTCTTGCGCCGCTTGCTGGTCGTGACGGAGGGCGGCGGCGGCGTGGCCGGCGAGTGGCCCCAGTGCCGGCGGCGGCTGGACGCGCCGACGCCGTCCTCGTCGTCCTCGCCGTCCTCCGCGGCGTCCCTGGAGCCCCTCTCGGCCGCGTCCGCGAACTGGCGCGCCAGCAGGGCGCCGTAGCGCACGTTGTCGCCGCAGCCGCCCCACTTGAAGTTGCCGTTGGGCGGGTCGCGCGGTGGCCCGGCGCACGAGCAGTGCGGCAGTGCGCCCTGCGCGCACGCCCGCGCCACGGAGTACGTCGCGGCCGCCGCGCTGAGCGCGTACACGAAGGCCTGCTCGCGGGTGCCTGCAACACGACGCACCGTTAAGGACCGAGTGGCTGCGACGCTTGACAGTGTACCGGACACTCTGGACCAGTCCGCAGGGTGTTTTTTGGATGCGCACCGGCGTAGAGGTCCGGGCTGAGGCGGGGCAAGGCCTCCAGCGAGGAGCAGTTCCAGCGGCGGTCGGCGAACACCTGCCTGCAGGTGGTGACAGCCAGCTGCGCGGCCTTGGCCAGGTGGGGCATGGCCTCCAGGGTGGAGCGGCACAGCGACACTTGCCGAGGGGTCATCCCCCAGCGAGGGCTACCGCCACCGCCGCCACCGCCGCCACCGCGGCACGAAGACGGACGCCAGGTGCTGTACGGCGCGTGGCGCAGCATCCTGCAACAAGAGGAACAGTTTCAGGGTCCCGGGTTCAAATACCAGCTCAGTAACGGGTTTTTCTTGCGGATTCACTTTTTTTTTCAATCAGGTCCTCTGGCCTTTCTCCCCGGAGTGATTGACCAGCCGTCTGATTCCGAGGGATCTGCCTCTGGCTCTGCCGCACTCATGCGGTGACCGTAGTGGTGCGAGACAGGCACAGCGACGAGTCCCATACTTCCAGAATCAGGAGGCCGAAACATTCCCCCTGCCTGCCCACAGTGCGTCATCCTTCTTCCTATCACTCAGTTGATTGGCTTTTGTGTCCCGACTGACCACTCGGCGGCCTAAAAAAGGGGCGGCGACCGTGATCGCGAAGCACGTTGTCATTTCGAGGAAGTGAAAGACAAAAACTGTGGCGCCATCCCCCCGGCCAGCATCACTTTGCATAAGAAGCAGAGATTTTTCGTCGCTGTCTCTTTTTCACGGGACGCCCCACATGGGAGCGAGACCCCGACACGAGAGGCACGGCGGTGCGTTCTGCTTTCCGCCCTAGTAACCCGGAGTTAAATGTGTTGGTTGGGTCCCATCTTTGTGTGGTCCGCGTCGCGTCCGCGTCGCCTCCACTGTGGATTCCTCGCCATCTGTCAATCATCGAGCCAGGCTTGGAGCCAGGACAGCAGCCAGGGCCGGTCAGGGACTCCTGGAAGGGTTTTTGTCATTCCAGCGTCATTCCCGTCTGCTTCTCGTCATCCCGTCCGTGCCGCTCGATTGCCATTCCTTTCCCAGAGACATAACAAATGACGGATTGGCCAGCGGCTTCAGCCTGCTTCAGGCTCTCCGCTCCGATTCCACATAATACATCCGTCTGGTTTCATACCATTTTTTCCCTGCACACGACTTTTGCGATCAATCGCCCAACCGGGTCTTTTTCCCGGTAAGACACGCGCGTCGCGCTTCCCTTATTAAATACGAATCCAGCCTTGTTTTGTAAACATTGCACGCACAGCTCCAGTAAACAATACGACTGCACCAATAATCCTCCGATAGATGTTGGACCATTCAGATGCACCATCATATTGCGTTTTGATTCGAGTACTGTTGGAGGACTAGAGCTTAAAACGTGTTCGCACCTTCCTCTGGGATTCCTCGGCCCTTTTTGATCGTAGCTGTGGACTGCGACCCCCCTTCCGCCTTTTTGAGGAGCGCACACGTAGTACACACACACACACGACCTACGCACACACACAAGCGCGGACGCGCCTGTCGCCTGGGGCAGTTTTCGTTTGGGGCCGGGCCCGCCTCAGGACCTGCAGGGCCCACTACCCGGCCCTCTCGGCCCCAGCGGACTGATTCCGAGCGGGAAGTCTCTCTCTCGCACTGATGGAGCGAATCGCACGGGTGCGAGAGAGACGGAGCGACGAAAGCAGTGTTCTGATTCAGCCTGCAGCCCCGCGGTCACACTTCCTCTGCCCTGCTTGCTTATTATGTTATTACGTTCCGTCTGCAGACTCCGGCCGGGTCGTCCGGGCGTCGTCTCGCCACGGCACGGCACGGCACGGCACGGCATGGCACGGCACGCCACGGCACGCCACGCCACGGCGTAGCGAAGGTGTGAATCGGCCCGCTATCTCGGACCACCGATCGGGCATTTACGCAATTACGGCACGTTAAAAAAAACACGTGTCCTCCTCGCCCTCTTTTGTCGAAACTAGTGTGAGGTCAGCGAGGGGCTGTCCCGAAACGCGGTGCGGGAAATAATGGAACGTGACTTGTATGGAGTGCATACTGACCACTTTGTGGGTAAACAACGGCCCTCCCGCTCTACACGATGAAAATATTATGTCCTTCACGGCTGCCCCCCCCCTGTCAAAAATATTGTGGTTTACGGGCAGTCCCCATTGCGGCATCGCCGAAGTAAATTATCCCACCCTTTATCCCACGCACACGCAGTTTCAACGAAGAGGAACAATCCTTTTAATGAATTCTTCGAGCAAAAAGGAGGGGAAGGAAGGGGGAGGGGGGGAATCGAGACGGCGCTAACAAATTCCTCCAAAACGAGAGACTGTGGAGTGTGAAGGAAAGGCCACCTCAATCACGCCCGGCCGGTGTTAATAAGCCTTGTTCATCAAGCCTGGCCTCTGTGAGTGTGTGTCGCTGATGATTCATACAGGAACATCCGGAGCTTGGAGCAGCCACGGTGCGTCCGAATGGTTGCTTCCCATGCTCGACGCGCTCGCGCCAAGAAGCTCTGCTCCGCTCCACGCAGACCAAGCCCGAGGCATTTGCATAAGTACCCTTTTAAATTCGGGGAGCCGCGCGCGCGCCGCGGCGGGACGAGTTGGCACGGCACACGAGGCTCTGTCTCTCTCTCGCCGCTGGCGCCCCATGAGTGCGAGAGGGACAGAGCGGCGACGAATCTCAGCCTGTAGACGACTTTGTGGGCGCTAGGTGGGGGTTTTCGTACGCACAGGTGTAAATGCCCCGGAGTCCTCCAGGCCTTACTCCAGGCGGGGCGGCGAGGTGGTCGTTTAACGCTCCGGTTGGTCACGCCCGCAGCCGGCCTGTTATTGGTCCAGTCTCTGATTGCGTTTCGCAGAAGCCGTAAAGGGAATGCACTGCTGTCTGGACGGACCGACGGGCCGGCGCGATGTGCAGCAAATGGCCGCCGAAACTAAAGCGAACTAAAGGGAATATTCCCTCTGAGGTAATTGGAAGTTTTCGGACCACTATTTTCATATTGTTACAAATTATGGAAATAATCAACTTTGAATCCCGGGCGCGCAAACCTATTTTTCTTGTAGTGTGTGTGCACGCCTAGGTGTGTGCGCACACACAGGGCCCTGCTGATGGGCCACTTGGGAAGCTATTCATTAGCACCCTGCATCACACCTCCAGTGGACACGAGAGTGGACACAGCGCTACTGCTGGAGTCTCTACCTCTCTGTCTGGCCGGTGGGGCGCTATAAACGCATTCAAAGTCCCACGCAGGGGTCGTACTGCCAGACCGAACAACCCCAGCCGTAATAAAAATCGACTTGTTAGTAATACATATTTAAAATAGTGAAAAATTATTTTTAAAAAACTGTGGTTTTAATTATGAGTTATGGACATGTGTTTTTCAGGTTACAAAAGTAGGAAAACCATGCTGTCCTCTGTTGGAAAATTTAAGTTTCACTCGACTTACTTCTTTCGTCAAGCGCTCCCTGGCGTGCGACAAAGACAGCACACTGCTAATTACTCATGATTCATGAACCTGGCTAGGTGGGTGGAGCACTTGGTCATTGAGACCGACATTTAAAAAAAAAGAACTCTAACTTTTACCCCCTCCTTTAGATTAGCGCGTTTGATAAATGTGCTTTACGAGAGGGGAGTGGGGGCGAGGTCTATCCTTCGGTAATTAACATGCGAGACTGACCTGCGCCTGATATTTCAATTTTCTTTACGGAGACGTCGCTGCGCCGCGCCATGGCGTGCACGCCGACGTCCCCATTGTGGTTCGGTACCGCGCCAACAGTGTGCGCGCCTTTTGATGGGGATTACACGGAGTGGTTCATCCGAGCCTAAGCCTGGGCTAGTAGAGCCGCCATTCTTGCCTGAGTCCGAAAAGGCCGCTGTCTCCCTCGCACCCCTGCGGCGCGCCCCGCGAGCGCGAGAGAGACAGAGCGAAGAAAGCAGTGCTTTAAGCCGCTTTTCGGCAGCGCCTTTGGGGATCCTTCGCATGGTTTGCGAGGCGTCGAGGGAAAGAAACGGGAGCCTCGTGGAGCCTCGACAACAACACCACAAACACGCACGGCGTTGGCACAACATTTACTGCAGCCAATACTGACTGCCATTTCCTTTGGTGGAACGCGACGACACCGAACATTATTGTACTTTTTGCCAAGTTTCCGGTGAAAATCGAGCGGTTTGCTTGACCGAACCGTAGCAGTGGTCACCCTTTCCCAGTTTGGCCAGTTTCTGCATAATCAAATAATCAACGTCGCTCTTACGGGTTTTCCTCCATTTTTAGATCGAACGGACGCCGATTCAACATCCTGCGATACGGACTGGAAACGGGCTGTTTCCCATGGCGGCCTAAAGGTTGGAAAATTATCTCCTACCGTCACCCATTCCTCACGTTTGGATCCTGTTGATAATCATCTCGAGGCGTCGTGCACCTCGGCGCGTGGCGGGGCGGGGCGGGGCGGGGCGGGCGGGGCGGGGCGGGGCGGGGCGGGGCGACTCGAGGGGCTTCGGTGTCGATACGTGCATAATTTCACGCGTTATTACCGGATCGCTGGGAGAGCGAGACGAATCCGCGGCCTGCCCCCTCGAGGTGGTCGAGGTGGTCGAGGCCCGCAAGCTGGGAGCTATAAACATGTGTTTTGATATCCCCCCTCCCCCTTCTCGACACGCCCCCGCGACGCCGCGCGCTCTTACTCGCCTCCTAGAATGTCACGCACCTGGACGACCGGCCAAGTCGAGTACGCAAAGACGGCACAGGTCGTAAGCGCGTACCTCCCATGGGTTTCCCATGACTTACGTGGATTGGCCCATGGCTACCCATGTGTTGCCGATAAACTGGGACGCGTGCAGGGACGCAGTATAGTAGTCTTTATTCCGCGCAGTGCTCCATCCTCCGTCTCTCTCCCACCCCTGTGAGACGCGCCCCATGAGTGCGAGACAGACACGAACGCATCGCAGTGGCCACGTCGTCACGCTATGAAAGCAGCAGGACATGTCTCCGCGAACGCCGAACGACTCTTTTTACCATCCATTTTTGGCGGCGCCTCTTTCCAAACTTTTCTCCGGCCGTGCGTGCGAACGGCAACAAGTGCGTGTTGCCTTTTCCCACTGCTCTGTCTCCCTCTTTTCGAAGAAGTTCGAAGAAGCCCCGCCGCGCTTCGGCCGTTCGGCGCGGCGTTTAACATTTATCCAGCGTTTAGTGGATGTGTGCGCGAGGCAGACCCGCAGCTCCACTGTTGTCGCCTCGCGGATGCACAGTTGAAAAGTAGTCTCAGGTTGCTTATTTTGGATTTTTAGAGGACAGGGAATGTTCTTATAAATTACCATGAAAATTTTGACACTTTTTCTCTCTTCTTTTTAGTAAATTGTCTCTTGGTTTGGTACTAAAAGTTTGACTCGTTTGGTTGAATTTGTGGCCTCGCTGCTTTTAGGCGCATTACGCCGCCAATGCCGCTGTTTCCTGGAATGACGAGCACGTTCGTTATCCTCCGGACACACAGTGTATCACCGAACCCGCTCCGTGATTTTGACACACAACAAACAAGGAGGCTGGGGATTTGAACCCGGGGAAGGGACGAAGAAAAAATAAGATGCTGCCGGTCCGATGTCGCAGCACGCGGGACAATACATCCGCTTAGGCCGATTTATACTCGGCTATCGGTGACTGCTACTTACGGTCCACGTATGTGACTTTAGGCCCCTGCGAGTCGTAAAAAGAAAGCTTCCCTTGAGGGTCTGCCTGTGAGCCCAGCCCGGGCAGAAATGCTTGCGCCAGCAGCACGTCAACACTGTCAAATCGATGTCGGAATCATTCGTTTTCTTCAGGGACTATAGCATACCGCGAACGGAAATGTTGGCCCCCTCGAAGCTGCGCTCGATATCGCTTTGGCCCCGGCTTAAGGACGGCCCCTAATCAGCTTAGCGTTCCGACCAATGGCCACAACCCGGCCGGACTCGCCGCGAATCACTGCGCCCCCCAACTATTTGGGCGCAGAGTCCTTGGTCTACTCACAGCCAGGCGATGGCGTTGGCGGGCGGCAGCACCTGGGCCACGACGAGCAGCACGGCGAGGGCGACCCGGGACAAGTCAGCCCGCCACGCCGGCCACACCGGCCGCGTCGACGGCCTGGTGCAAGGCCTGGTGCCCGGCCCCGCCACGCGCGGCGCGTCCATCCGCGCTGCCTCCGTCGCCGCCCCTCACGACGGCATCCCGGAGCCGCATCCCATACTCCGGCAAGTCCGTTGAAGCACTGAGCCCGGTCTAGGCGCTAGGGCCTCATGCAGTGGGGAGCAGCCTTGAACGCCCCTACTGTCACTTCCACACACGCGGGATTCGGGATACCACGCGAAACGAGGCACTCTTTGAGTGGGGTGGCACCGACGCCGTTGCTGCAGGTTCGCGCGCGCGCCCCTCCGCCGGGTTCGTCCTGTTCACGACTGACCGCTCGCTTCAGCGCTTCACCTCATCTCTCGTCTCGACGCACCGCCGGCTGCTCCCCGCCCCGCCCCGGCCGGCTCGGCTCTCCGCCCGGCCCGGCTGGGCTCAGCGCGGATGCTCGGCTCGGATTCGGCTCAGCCCCGCAGTGGGCCACCAAGAGGCCCTGCTTCGCCTGCTTCGACACCAACAGTGGTACCAGAACAACAACAAAAAACTTACTCCGCGTAAAGCCTCCTCACTGTCTTTGTCGGCGCATCCCGCCCCTCCCCCTGCCGTCCGTCCCTTCCTCGTCTGGACCCCCCCCCCCCCCTCGCGTGCACTCCTGACCATTCATGCCGTGGTCGTCCCAAGGCGCTTGCTTCCGCGAAGGCGATTTTGGCTTACAAGGCATGTGCCAAATGCACTTCACTCCCGAGGACAAAGTTTCGATGTGGCGTTGTGTCCTTGGTCGCTCGCCGCCCCCCAGCCAGGCTAACCAAGAAAAGGAGTGAAAAGAAATTTTTAAAAAATGTTGGAGCGATGGTAAACCTCACTTGGATCTCGGAGGCGTTTGCGTCTTATTGGAGTTACTCTTCTTGCCGACACCTGCATCCCTAGTGCCCTTAAGCCTTAAACACCTCCCTCCTCTTCCTGTGGGCCTGGCCGGCCAGGGCAGCCAGGCCACGGCGCACGGTAATAGCAGGTAACGCACCTCGTACTAATTTGGTGCGTTCATGTGCGTGCGTCAGAGAGAGAAAGAGTGCGTGCGTCAGCCTGTGTGAGGGAGTGAGTACGTGCGCGAGGCTCTTTCTGAAGCCACCCAAATAATGCACCGATTTTGGCTGAGGCATGCCAACCACCAAAATTTCTCTATAAAGTTGCTGTTGCTGCGTCCTGCCCCGCCCCTCTTACCTGCGGGCTGAATTAGGTGTGAGGATGTTTTACAACTTGTCGCCTCGATAGTCGCCGCGCAGCGCTATGCGCTAGCAGTGTGCTAGCAGCGCTCCGGCCGGCGGCGGCAGCGGCGGCTGGGAACAAAGTGATCCGGATAGAGCCGCCGTGTTTTGTCAGTTTCCTCTCGTCTCAGGTTCGGGGTTCGACCCCGCCTCCTGCACACCTCCATTCATCAAACCGAAATCACGGATAGAGGGACGCGTCCGAGCGGTGCCGCAATGCCACAACTCGCAAAACGCGGCTGAGGCTCATTCCAGTTCAAACTAGCATGGACACCCGAGGCATCTTCGTCAGGGACTCCAAAAGGAAGTCGTCACATCGATGTATCCGCGTCGTTCTCGGACCACCCGCACCTCTGGACAGTCTGGAGACGATACGAGCATTGCAGGCAGAGCGGCAGTCGGCAGTGCATGCGCGCGGCAGAGCGACGGAGGGCCTCCGCCGTGGACGCCGCCTCTGAGGTTCGGGACGCCCCGACGGCCGACGCCCCGCCCGGTTCGCTTTTAATTACATAGCGGCGGTGGCTTTGAGATTGGGCATGAACCTGACCCCTCCCCTCACACCTCCGCTTACCTCCCCTCCCCCTCCCCACCCTACCTCTCACGCCTCGGCGGCGCCGCGCTCCTCAACCCGCCAGCGGTGGCAGCCGGAACAGTTGCCTAACACCCAGGCGGCGCTGTAGAAGGGTTCTCTGTCTCTGTCTCTCTCTCTCTCTCTCTCTCTCTCTCTCTCTCTCTCTCTCTCTCTCTCTCTCTCTCTCTCTCTCTGTCTCTCTCTCCCTCACTCACTCTCTCTCGACCTGGCCCTGGCGTCGTCTTATCACTCACTGGGCGGGGAAGCGGGGAGGGGAGGCTGCCGTCGGCGAGCACCCGGCCAGTGCGGCGGCCGTGGCGCCGTGGCGGGGCGCGGCAACATGCAGCTGCCCGCTCCACCGTCACAGCGTCGTCACCATCGACACCGCGGTGAGCTTGGCGGCTTGGCGGCTTGACGGCCCGACGGGCTAACCTAACCTAACCCGGTTGCCTCGGTCCGACCAGGCTGGCTGCGCGCGCTGCACCTCGTGGTGGCGGTGCTCCTCCTCGGCGCGCCGCGACCGCCCTGCACGCCGTGTGAGGCGCGCCTCGACCCCGACTCGGAGCCCGCCCAGCCCGCCTTCACCGTGCTGCACCCGATGGGCGCGTTCAAGCGCCCGCGCGCCACCACGCCCGCGTCGCCGTCCTCGCCGGCCCCCGCCAAGAAGGCGGAGACCACCGCCACCACCACCAAGAAAGCGGACGACAGAGTGGAGCCGATCACTGCCAGGCCCACGGAGCCGACCCCGGACACCTCAGGTGACGTGATGGACAAGCTGATGCAGGGCAAGCTGCCGGTGCGCATCGGGCTGACGCGTGGCGAGCTCAAGGCCGTGCTCATGATTGTGGCGGCGCGCTTGCGGAGGGAAGGGTACGCCGTCAACAACGCCGCCTTCAGCGACTGGGACGTGGTGGCGGCCGCGGACGCCAACGCCAAGAACACGGCCGTGTACACGCTGACGCTGGCGTCGAGCGAGGTCCCTCCGAAGTGGCGGTCGCCGATCATCGCCCTGACGCCGTCCTCGACGGCAGCAACGGTGGCTGCCGCCCGGTGCCCGGAGTGCTCCTGCTCGCCCTGCCTCCAAGGCGCCGCTGAGCACGCCGCCCCCGGGCCGCTGAAGGCCGACAAGGCCGAGGCCACGACGAGGGAGGCCGAGACCGTCGGCCGTCCGAAACTGCTGGCCGACGAACCGGTGAGTGCGAAGGGAGGCCACAAGGCTCTCGATGTGCGCCGCGGCCTGGATCTGCCGGAGACGCTGCAGCAGCAGCTGGGCACCATCAACGCCATCATCGCCGAGGTCAAGCAGCAGATCGACGCCAAGGCCGAGGAGGCCAAGTTGATGGCGACGGCGCAGGCGGCGGTGCAGACGACGGCCGCCACGGAGCTGCCAGGCAACCTGCAGAAATCCGCACAGCTCTCGCCGTCCTCCAAACAGGGCCAGGGAGTGTGGCCAGGGCACTCATTTGGACAGGCGGCAGCGGCAACAGCACTGTGGACGACGGCCAACCCCAGTCCAGCGGCAGAGCAGTCCGCCGCATGGATGGCGCCCAAAACTTTGCCTCCGCCGAGCAGCCAACCACTCCACTCTCTACTTTCACTCCCGCGTGCTATCAGCCCCAACGAGACTCGCGGCCCGGCGGACCAGGCGGACCAGGCGCCGGGGACCCACCAAGCCATGGCGCTCTACCGGCAGACTACCAGTCCACCCATGCTTGCGCAATCTCACCCAGTCCAGCAAACACCTGCTGCAGAGTTACCCACGCCGCCTTCCCAATCCCAGAGGCACCACCAACCCCAGTTATCATCGGAACCCCACCAACCCGCTCAAACGCTTCTAACCTTCGAGGTGCAGGAGTACCCGCAACCACACCATCAATACCACTCAGGCCTTCCCTCTCACCAACCTGTACAACATCAACTGTCACATGAACAACACTCTCAACAACACCAGCAGCCACACCAGTACTCATATGCACAACACCCATCAATAACAGTACTTCGACCTCAGGTCCAGCAACAACCACAGAATCCATACCCACAACACTCGCAAATAGCAGTGCAATCCCAACTGGCCCAGCAACACGTATTGTATCCATATCCGCAACAACCCCTAGTCACAGTACAACCCGCGCAAGCTCAAAAACCCTTTCAGTACCCACAACAACCATCAAATTCAGCACTGCTCTCACATTCAAAGCAACCCTCACAGTACCCACACCATGAACCCGTAGAGGCCCAGCAACCGCCACAGTACCCGAACCCTCAACAACCTGCATTAACAGTGCCACCGGCTTGGTCCCATCAACCCCCGAAGAAGCCTACCGAACAACCCTGGCGTCCTCAGCAACCCATGTCGCCTCCGCACTCGTCGGAGCAGCAGTCTGCTCCGAGGCCGCACCCGTCGCAGCCACAGCCTCAGACATGGCAGTCCGTGAATGGTCAAAACGCCCAGCCCTCGCCCAACCAGCCGCACCAGTCGCATCAGCCTCGGCAGTTGGCGCCTGCTTACAACCAGCCCGCGCCCCAGCAGCACCAGCTCGTGTACGTGTACCAAGTGCCCGTGCCGCCTGCCGCGCAGCCACTGCAAGGCCCACAACTACCCGCCGCCCCAGCAGCTCAAGAAGTGCCCGCGCGCGCTCTTGGCGGACAACAGTCTCTGGACCACGAGGCGCCTCAGTCGTTCCGGGCCGCCGCGATCGGCCACCTCGGCCACCAGCCTGCGTCCGACCCGCCAGGCACGGCCGTGGCCCCGGGACTGCTGCCCAAGATCCCCGGCCTCGCCGCCATGGAGCAGAAGCTGGAGGAGATGGGCCTCGGGCCCTCCAGGCTGCAGGTGGGCGACGTCACCATCGACGTGAACCTCAAATCGCCGCCCTCGTTGGGCGGCCTTGGCGACGTCAGCTTCCCCGACGGCCCCGCCTTCATGGCGCGCTCCGCGCCGGTGCCGGACGACGATGTCCCGGCCTCGTCCAACACGACGGGGTCGGCCTTTGCGACTGCGGCCACTACGGCGACTCCGGGGGCAGAGAAGGAGCAAGACCATGACGGCGGGCGCGAGGAAGCATCGACGTCCCCGTCCACCACGCTGGTCCACCACAACTCCAGCTCGACGCGGCACGTGACCAGCGCCGCGACGCCCGCGACCCGGCAGCGGCACTCGACCAGCCAATCAGGTTCGTCTTCGCGCAGGGCCGGCCTCGGGGACCGCCTAGAGGCCCGCCTAGAGGCCCGCCTAGACGCCCGCCCGCCCAAGCGGCCCGCGTCAAAACAGCACCGCGCCGCACAAGCCGGCGGAGCGCAAAAGAAGCCTTGAACAATACACGGCCATGACGTCATCGCCTTGTCGCTTTCTTCCCTCACTGTCCCTGACTGCGCGCTGTTGTTGGGCAGACGGCGGCGACGCCGAAGCCGCCGGGGACGAGGGCACCGAGCTTGCCGACTCGAGTGAGGACCTCGGGGGGGAAGACGAGGAGAACGATGAGGACGAGGAGGACGATGATGAGGAGGATTGGGGGCGGGTTATTAACGGAGAGGACGCGAGTATCACGGACGTGCCGTACCAGGTAAAGGACGCCGAGGGACTGGCACAAGGTAAATTTGGACTTGCGCTCCGCGGCGCTACTGCCGACGAGCTAAACTAAGGACGCGCGATTGCAGGTGGCGCTCGAGCACAACGGGCGGCTGTGGTGCGGCGGCAGCATCATCGGCAAGACGTGGGTCATGACGGCGGCACACTGCGTCCAGGGGTGAGTGACTGCGTCCACTTTGCGCTCTGGAGTCCAAGTCAATTCAATTCTTCCTCTTTCCCTCCTTTCCACTCTTTGGCAGACGGAGGCGGGCTGCTGCGTGGCGAGTACGAGCGGGGGCGACCCTCAGGGAGACTGGCGGGAAGCTGGTTAAGGTGCGCCAGGTCTTCCCTCATCCCAAGTACAAGCAGCTAAAGTACGATGTGGCCCTGTTCAAGCTGGCCGAGACCCTGACCTACTCCAGCTCCATCAAGGCCGTCAAGCTGCCCGGCAAGGGCCACGAAGACGCGACCCCAGGCGCGGCCATGACCATATCAGGATGGGGTAAAGTGAAGCCGGTAAGGAATGCAGGGTTGGAAAAAGGACTTAAGTCCCTTACAAGCTACGGGGAACTCCCACAGATTTGCGACGACACAGATTACAAACGACTCTGAGTTATTTTCTCTGTGCTTAATAGTTCCTTTTCTTTTGGCCCTAGAATGGCTACCAGTACCCGCGGGTCCTGCAGAAGGCGACGGTGTCTGTCGTCGCGCGAGACGAGTGCAGCAAGCGGTACTCGAACACGCCCTTCGGGCCCATCTCCAACGTGGAGGTCTGCGCAGGCGGGGACCATACGGACACCTGTCAGGTGGAGTATACACGAAACGGGACAGAAAAAAGTGGATTAGGAAGTAGAGTTGGTTTCATTCACGATGGAATTCCGTGCTGGCGCTGGCAGGCCAGTCTTCGGTGCGTAAATCGAAGCTCACCGAGCGCCTGCTGGGTACGCAACACAACGAGCGAGATGTGAGTTGGGTTGCCTATCCCGCAGGCGCTTGATGCTCGTTGTTTTAATTTTGACTTGGATTCATTTCTTCTCGGAGCAGGGAGACAGCGGCGGCCCGATGGTCGACAGCTCAGGCACCCAGATGGGCATCACGTCCTGGGGCGAGGGCTGCGCAGAGCTGCCGGGCGTCTACTCTAACATCGCCCACCCAGACCTCAGAGAGTTCGTGCGGAAGACAGCTGGCGTTTAGTGACATCCACACTCACGCAATAAATCAAAAACCCCTTACATGGCATGAGAAATAGAAAATAAAATAAAGAGAAAAACAGAAAAGGAGTCTTATGCAAAATATTTTATTTTAACTATAACATCTAAGTATATACAATATTAAGAAATTAAGAGCAACTTCAGTATCCAAATATTCATGGCTTTTGACTGTCCAGGAGATCTTTCGCTTCATTAATCTTTGCAGCCAGATAAGGTGATCCTCCACGATCTGGATGATTGACAATCATGATGCGTTTGTGAGCATCCTGAAAAGAAAGACATTTAGAAACATCAATTTCGTGATGAGGTTGTTAATATGCAATTCCATTGCAAATTTAATACCTTGATTTTAGCTTTGCTTGCAGTTGGTGATACTCCTAAGATTAATGCTGCTTCTCTTCTATTCATTTTGGGATCAAATCCCCCTTTGTAATACTTGGATCCAATGGTCTGAGAATAAAGAAAGACTTAATTAGATCAGTATTCTCAAAATGAGAAAAGACGCAATGATTGACTAGGAACATTACTTACGTCAATTTGAATGGCAGCTATTTTCTTGGAAAGACCAGATCTTATTACATAACGACCAATGTATCCTACTGCTGCCATTCCGACACCGACATACACAAGGGTGGACTGAAAAATAACAAGCCTCTTAGAGATCATAGGTAGAACAGTGCACAGTCACAATGGACTGTAACATCTGAGCTAATAACACCACAAGCATTGATAAAGTGCAAACGTACAGACATTGCGTGACAAGAAAACTTGAGACATTTACTTCAAATTTAAAAAAAAATGTAAATCATACGACTGAATTAGAGGTTACATCATCAATTAACTGTTTGTATGGGTAAACGTACCATTTTTAAACGTGAAGATAATTATGCAGTAGGCCTGCCTGTTGAAGAGTTATCGATAGCAAAAGGCAGGCAACTTCTTCGGGATTGTATTTTCTTGCACAACGTTTGCGTTTTCGGCATGTGTGTACTTCGCTCCGTACTTCGAGTAGCAGACGACAAAGACAACGTGCGGCTATTGGCAGTCGTGGGAAGCGCAAGCAGACCCTAGTATTCGCACGATAGCTTTCTGCTAGGGGTTGTTTTTGACAGCTGAAGGGGCTGGAAAAAACATTTAGGTGTGAGGCAAAGTCTCGTAAGTTGTGCCGTATTATCTGTTGAGTACCTGACTTTTACTTTTCATTGAACTGTTCTTTGTACTCTGTATCAGCCCCATCACTGGCCGAGTTGTTTCCACCGGTGCCAAAAAGGTACCAGGTACTGTGACGTACTACGACTGTTCTGTGTTCTGTCATTGTCAGCATGAGTTTCACGGATTCAGTTGTATACATTCTCAAAGACAATCCAGTGTCCCAGAGTACCATTCAAATCGCGTCATCTGTGGTAAGTGATTGTTTTTACTTCAGCTTTTATACGTTTCGTCCATAAATGTGTATTTTAGATGCTAAATAAGAGTCAAGAGGCCAACTGACGGCCGTGGTTATTTCTATTGCTAGTCCTAGAAGGTTTAACCTCTAAATATCCGTTTCTTTGAAGCAAGTTTAACAATTTTTATCCTTTGGCTTTCCTTTATTACAGTTGAACAAAGCATCTGGTTGGTTGCCTGTACCTAAACCCCAGGAAATACCTGCACCAGTCATGACGCCAGCACCGCTTCCTCAGCTTTTTAAGCTGGCGAGCTACAGTGGACTCTTCATAAGATTAGCGGGGATATCAGGTGCTGCTGCTGTTGGCCTCGGCGCGTATGGAGCACACAGTAAGTTTTGCTTTATACTATTCCAATTAAAGTACTACTCAAATTGATCAATTATGTAAGATGTGTGATATGACGCCTCAGTTTTACTATGACGGGCTGCAAAAGATGAACGATCAGCTCTCACTTTCTTTTATTTCTGTTAAGGTATTATGAACGAAGAGGGGAATGAGCACAAAAAACGTGTCTTTGAAACTGCAAACAAATACCATTTTTACCACACTATCGCTCTCCTAGCAGTTCCATTGTGCCATTATCCTCTTGTGGTGCGTATCATGATGGTCATTGCTGTTCTGTGAACTGTTGACTTTGGAAATTAATATTGTCTCTTCCTTTTTCAGACGGGATCACTCTTTTCAGCTGGAATATTGATGTTCTGTGGACCCTGCTATTACATGTCCATTACGGGTAAAGATCAGTTGAGAAAGTTAACACCATTTGGTGGTGTGTGCCTCATTGTTGGTTGGCTGTCTATGATGATTTAATTACCTTTCTCTTTATTTTGTGGTGATACAATTTCAATACCATATTTGGGTGCTTGTTACTGCTTCATTACATTTAGACATTCGTGTCAAAGTTTTGATTTATCAGCAGCTCCCTTAAAAATTTTGTTTAGTGTGGTCACTAGTGACTGAAACACTTTGTGATGGAGCTTATCACACTGATACTTTTTTTAGGGTAGCAAATACCCCTATTCTGCATTGCTGTGAAGCACACAAAGAAAGATGCTGGCCTTTCCTTACATCAGGTGGCTCCCAATAACTGCATTCATAAGTTGACATTCTAGTAATTTTGCTTTCATTTGGCGTGTTTTAGACATCACTCTTTCTCCATTGCGGATCTCTGTATGTGTAGCATGTGTTTTAAAGTAGTATGGATTGTAAATTCAGTGGACCTAGTTGAAGTTCATTTTGTGTAAATTTGTTTTTTTAAGCTCAAATATATAAATCAGTACACAAATGCCTCATCTTTTCCATTATATCTTTATTTTAATCTTTTGGAAGATGAAATACATACTTTTTACCATAGACAAATTCACAACTAAGATCAATCCAAATTATATTATAAATGGGAGAATTTGGGTGAGGTACTCCACACACCTCAAACAAACAAAGAAAAAAAAACTGTCCTTTAAAATTAAAATATAAGGGTAGTCTTATACTATCACAACAAAAGCTGTGTTGACCATGGTGACACATGGATTCAATGCAGCGTACTAACTTTATTACAGTTAAATGCATTGTTTAAAAAAGAAAAAGAAACAAGGGTTTCACTAGCATTAAAAGATAGAACCACAGCAGCCTTCGGCACTTCGGTCAGTGCCTTTGCATATTACCGACAACTTAAAATTCAAGACTTTGAATAGAGGAATCACATGTTAAAGAAATATAATAGAAATCAAACTTGTAAGACTTTTTAAAGGCCTCATTCCACAAACTCTACAGAAATAATGAACAGATTATGATATGGTGGAAAATTTAAAAAAGTTACTTTTATGAAACTTTTGAGTGCCAACTCCAACGCCATCACGAGGCAAGGTACTTTAACTGCTCATTTCAAATCGCTCATTTATTTATCATTACAAGTAATAATAAATATACATAGCTATATACACAATTGCATATACAACTATGTATAAGTGTGGCTACACAATGTGTACGCCCTGTGGTAACTGATTGGTAGAATATTGAGCTTGGACTATGACAGGTGGAATGAAAGTTGCCCTTCCTGTGCAGCAAGTTTTAGTTTAGCACGCATCACTTCCACAGATGTATAGTCTGGTAGCTTGAGGTAGTTGACGCAAGTCATCACAGATGGCAGGAAGTCATCTGGATTCATATTTGGTTCTAAAGTCTTCCTCACAATAGTAAGAGGTGGAGTTAAGCTTTTGAAACCTGAAGAGAAAAACATGTGTTTTAGAAGTAAATTACCACATGCATTTAAATGAGAATTAACACTAGACACCAACTTACCTCCTACTGGAAGGCGAGGGGATCCTGTAATGAACTGCAAAAATTGACGTTGCTCATGAGGGGTGTATGAGCTCAGCACTTCAAACAGGAAACCTATTGCTCGAGAGTCTGCTGTATATCCATGATCCAAACGGCAGCACTCCATTAACATTTTGACATCCCATGCTGAAAATGAATTAAGACGTGATTTAAAAAAATGTGAATAAAACTAATTATGATCTACTTGACCAAAGCATGCTGCTTACGAGCATTTTGAGATGAGCCCTGGTTGGAACCACAGAAAATTAACTCTAACTCTTCTGGATAAAATAAGCGGAGGTGAGAAAGAGGGAAGACTGTTTCAAATCCTTCTCTTAAAGCTTCTATTTGTCTTGAAACTCCTTCCACTAAGAACCAATGTACAACAAGCTGTCGAACAAACAGAAAAACATGGTTAGTTACAAACTATCAATCTAAATTGATGTCTTTCTTTCGGGATGACTTGTTTCTTTACCTTGCAATATTCATCTAAATTGTGAGGTGTAACATACACATCTTTGCCACCTTTTCTCAATTCAATGCCAGTATTACCGGGGAGAGTCATGTCCAAGCCTAATTCCACAATTGGGCAACCATCTAATTCTAAGCGTCCAGTAGCCTCTTTTATCTGCAACAAATAATTATTAAGTACAAAAGGAGCACATGAAATATGTATTTTTCAGTTTACTGTACATGCTCATATACTGACCTGCTGAACCGTCATATCAGGACTTCCCTCCAAAGTTTCTTTTGTTCTTAGAACTCCTTGTAACTGAACTAAAGTGCGGTGCACTGGTGGATTAACATGTTGCAGATCAGGTAAACTCAAAGTAGTCTCTTGTCCCAAAAGCCAACGATACAGGGCCTCACTCAAAGGCAGATCAAGCATACGGGAGTCCATGACTGCCTTGGCCATTAATTTACCCAGAAACCTAAATTTGGACTTGACCTAAAAATATTTTAAAATTAATCAAAGTTCATAAAAAAAAATTATTACAGTAGATACAAGACCTAAACGCATGTTTACCTTTGCAACGTGAGAAACCTTGGTTGCACGGCCAAATGGTGCAGGGAACAACCCAACAGCAGAATGAATGTAACTAGGAGTTGAGTCTGTTGCAGGAATCTTATCACCAAACCACAAATCTAGATCTGATCTTTGGAGCTCTCTAGATACAAGAGCATAGAACTCCAAAGTTGGTCCAAGCCCAGTGCCAACCTGAAAAAATTGCAAGGCACAGTTGTTATCACAAAATCTTAAGTACAGGAGGCATTAGAATATGAATGAATCAATTTGACATACTTCATTCTCATATTGAATTTCAACCAGGGCTCTAGAGGTGGCAAGATCCTGGAACACTTGTTCAGCTTGCTTGAGAATGTCGTCCCTGGACACTGTTCTCTTGCGTCGATCAAGACGAGGGGTTACACGTTCTTGGCTGTCGGAACCACTTAGCTCAGGACTAGAATCAAGTAAGCGTTGTAGAGCTCGATCGCGGTCGAAGCACGTCACATACAGCAACAGCTGTCTTGTTTCGAAGGGGAACAAAAATGGGCTGCAAAGACACACAGTGCTGTTAGGCTTTTGATTCATTTGCAAACAATAATAGAGGCAAAAAATTCAATTTGTGACAATCATTTACCAAGTAAGAGCAATTTGTTGCAACCATGGAGGAAGATTTCCAGTCATGATAACTAGAGGGTCTTGAAGCTGCCGACTGGCTTTAGCAGCCACTTTACTGTTGACAAAGTCCTGAGAAAACCATAGAGAGATTAGTTTTGGACACCAAATTCACTACACAATGGACTATCTAAAATTCTTAAAGTACATACTTGTTGCGGGATGATGGCTTTGTAAGTAATAAAGGGGTAGAGAGTGCCCCAATGACGATTTAAAGCGTTAAGAACTCTGAGCAGGCACAGGACTGGCAATGAGGCATCCTGAATGGTGACTGAGTCAGGCAGCTGAGTGGCCAAGAAAGGCAACAAGGCAGACTGCACACTGGGTGCAATACCATCATTCCACAAATCATCAGTCTTCTTGCGTGTCTTTGAGTTGCCACCTTTCCCTTTCCGGCCGGTACTAGCAGTGGAGCTAGGCACAGTGGAAGAGGAAGAGCTGGCACTAGGACGTATTGTGGCCGTTGGTGGGTCATCTTCTGGGACAGGTCTGTGACATAGAAATAATGTTAAAATTCATAAAATTGGCATGACTGCAAGACAATATGACAAAAATGAATGATTTTGCACGCTGATAGATTGATGTACCTATAGTAAATTGTGTGAGTTTGCACCCAAACTCCAGCATTTCCTAGAGGTGCTTCGGTATCTGTATCTGTTTCAGATTGATCATTCATAGCCGCAGGACTGAACTGACGAACAGCTTGGTAAACGGTCATATTGTAGGGCAAGACATGTTCTCCTAACATAAACTGCAGTTTATGACGGGCAGATCCTTGACTAATGACCACTGCAGCCTAAAACCAAAGCAAACAATATTTAAGTTATATGCATTAAAGCTCTGTCTAAGTACTGGCAGCAGCATGAAATGAATTAAAATCTTACCAAGGTGTCATCAATATCATCTTCACTGTTTTCATCATCGGAATCCCCTGCATCCTTGTCCCTCAGACGACCATATCCTCGTACAACCAAATAACGTTCAATTGCTTGCACTAATGCTAAGGGGTCAATCTTGACTGTACCCCCCTTCCATTGTTTCAAGTTTTGGCAGTCAGGGTGCCTTTGAAGATTGCACTGAAAAGAAACAGAGAAAATGATGCCACCAAATGACAAAACACAACCAAAAATGCTGTACAAAACACAAAATATATTGATGGATTACCTTCAATTGATGGGTGTTAAAAAATTTGAGGGCAGAGGTGCCTGCTCGACCTGTTCCAGTCCCTGCAGGAAGGTCATGGACCTTTACAGGGAACTGTTCAAGCTGAGACACACATCCATTAAGTTTATTTACTAATGCTAAGAAAGGTGTTGAGTTCCAATCAGGTGGAAAACCACTCCAGCTTGGATCAAGCTAAAAAGGATAATAAAAGGCATAAACACAAACATGTAACGCATGGAAGTAGAAATGAACAGATGCATGTCTTTAGAATTCCTACCGGACATCCAGCAAACACATTCAAAAAGCATCGAAGACGCTGGGAGTGCTCACGACTCAGTGTTGTAGCCCCAGAGGCATTAGCAGCTTCATCAGCCAGGTACTGAAGTAATGCTTTGATAAGACCTGAATGATTCACTTCAAAAGGTGAAACATCAGACTCCAGTAAAATGCCCCGTAATTCAGTAAGTGCTGATAAACTTTCATCTCTCTGTTAGTAACAAAGGGATAAATTAGTTGATATTTTATTAGATATATTTATGAAGGGCATTCAGTAGAGCAGATCATTTACCTGATGATGCAACTTATGAATAGCTTGAGTTAGACGAGTGAGAATGTCTGTGGCAGGGTGGCTGGGACCATTGCTTTCCATAAGGCAATGGGTGTCTAAGAAGCGGTTAGACTGTTCACGAACCCATATTCTAGCTTTTTCCTTATTTCCGGCAGTGAGATTGGGGTTCGAGGAAGATTTGGATAGTTGAATATCCTACAAGAAACATAGGATTGAAAAGAATTAACATCTTTATCAGCAATCATTTAAAACATTAGTAAAAACAAAGAATACACAGAACAGATCATACCTTGAATGCTCTATCAGTTAATGTTGGATTAACGCTTCGCCCCCACCGGGCAGGGTTTAGGTTAGCAAGAAAACTCTTTGATGACCCTCCACTGAATCTTGATCGGGAAGTACTATTTGGAGTGGACCGGCCTGAGTTATTTAGAGATGTGGCTGTAGACAAGACTATACCATTTAGGACACAGACAATAAGCATCGTTCAGATAACAGATAGATTCTCTCACCTTTGGTAAAAAGATCATGAACCATTGATGATGGTAAGTTACTACTGTCATCCTGACGGGTTTTGCGGCTGGATGGACCCACAGCCCTTTTTTGGTTAGCTCGTTTACGTTTCAGGACATCACTCAGCCGCCTGTAAATAATAAGATACATGAAATGCTTGGATTCACATCAAAGTTAAAGTAATCTGAATTCCTTTCGCATTACGTACAGCTGTGAAGGGCTTGATGAACAAGCATCATCTGAAGACAAGAGAGGATCTGTCCGATCATAACGAGGCATCTGACCAGAGGGGGGAGAGGTACCGAGGAGAAGGCTTGCTCCTCCGTCTAAAAGTGCATTCAATATACATAAATTAGAGAAGCTTACAAACGAATTTACAATTAAAATAAAAAAAGAAAGATATGACACCAACCTAGGAATGGAAGAAGGCCATTTGAGCTACTTGCACTAGGTCCCGCTTGCAGTGATGATGACGAACCACTCACAGGTACAAGACTGCTTGGATTTGTTGTGCATAGGATTGGCATACTGTAGCTGGATGTCGATGTTGATGCATGAGATGGCGCAGCTGAAGTTGAAGCTCCTGGCTGCTGGCCTTCAAGTGGACTGAATGATGGTGGGGGCAGAGGAATTGTCTGATCTGATGTAAATAGCTCAGCTGGAAGATTGCATGTTATGCTTTTGGGCTGCAAGGGTGAAGGAGCACACAAAGCACTTTTAGGAGGAGACGCCCCCAAGGGAACTGAACTGTCTGCGAGCAGCCGTACTTGATGCATGACACCTGAAAAAAATGAAAAACAAGTAATCAAGCATTCATACAACTCAATCACAATGATTTGTTAAAGTTGTTGATCATTGCAAGTCTTCCTACCTTCACGAGTAAAGTGGGTACCAAACACATGCGGTAACTTGGTCATCAAGATATCTGCCATTTGCAAAGCTCCAACAACAATTCGCAAATCTTGAGATGCCATCATTCCTGCAATATGGCTCGATACAACCTGATTTTTCAGCACATCCTGGGCAAAAAAAAAAAAAATTAGAATAAGAGAAAAGGCAAAGTAACATTTCACACAAAACTGTACAGCATTAGAATACAAACCTTCAATAGATCAGCAGAAGCGTAATATACCATCCGTAACAAAGCTCGCAGACATTTGACTCTAACAGACGGGCCAGCAGATGAACTGTATACTTCATAGAGAACACTGAACAGCGACCGAATGAAAGAGGCAGCAAGCCCACGCTCTTCCTTCATACATGCCACTCGTGCATCATAGCTGTTCAAAAATGGAATCATTAATTTAGTTCTCTCTTTGTAAATACTCAAGTGACTTTTCCATAGTTTGCAAAATAATTCCTTACCTTGCAGAGAAGTTGTTTGGACTGTTAGAACCCGGAGTTTCAATACCATCTGAAGAAGCGCTTTGATCATCAGGTGAAGCAGGGGCATTAGCAACTGCAACTGGCGAGCTGCAGAGTGTAGGTGGACTCAATCGACGCTGAACAGGTCTGGTGGTTCCTGTGTCCTCATTTATTTGTTGCATGGAATGCAAATCAAGAGTGTATGTACGCCCAAGCATGGTTAAACTTATTTCATCTTCACCAGATAAGTGCGCAGCTTCAATGATACGAGAGTCAATGCTACTGTATGCATGCCAAAGACCACGATCATCCTTCCATTGCCACTGGACTGTATCTTGCACTTGTCCTTGAGGACGATCAAGCAGGGCATCAACAGAAAATATACCATCAGAAGGTAATCGGGGCATCAGCTCACAAATTAAACATGTTATCTCATACAACTCCTGAGGACTCCTGGTCACAAGTTCAACCTGAGCAAGTAGACAAATTGTTACAATAATGTAGCTGCAAAAGCATAAGTAGATACTATTATGGATAGGAAATAAAAGTAAATACCTCTTCATTGGTTATTTCAGCAGACCCAGTCAGTAAGTAAAGAAGTGTTTCAGCAATATTTTGACGTAAGAGTGTCAAAGCCAGGTCGGGGCAATTAGCACACATAATGGACAACATTCGAAGTACTGTAATGAATGTTCCTGTGCTTATAACAGGTGGTGATACCACAAGCTGTAGAGAAGAAAAGACGACATTATCAAATATTCCGGACATCAATTTACTCCAAATTCAGAAAGCGAATGATGACTTTTAAACTGAAAATGTTCACAACTGGTTTAAGTCAGCATCTTATGACAAAATACTAGAGGACACATGCGCCAAGACTAACATTCAAGGTAATCTTCAATGTTATGACATTCACGATTAGCTTGAATGTTAACCTCTAACAGATGAACACCAGTGCTTTAAAGAAGCAGCTTAAACTATTGAGGACCTCATTTCGTCTACCAGTGCAAAGGACTAGCATTGGAAATTTATATTCCAAGTCTAGGGTGACACTGGACAAGAAGTTAATACCATAGTAATTCTTTGGAAGTCACTCACCAACTGTTGCAAATTGGTGAGAAGTTCTGGACTGGCTATTTCTTGAAGTTTCTCTGGCATATGCTGAAAACTGTCCACTAATCTGCTGTAAGCTAGACAAACACTTTCCACACTTTTCTTATCCTGAAAGAAACAGAAGTAAAAGGTTTAGATAGTTGCTGTTGTTAAGAGAGAGCTGAAGACTGATTGTGTAGAAGACTCACTTGCTGCACAAGGCGACCTGCTAAAAGTGGCAAGGACTGTGATACATAGTGAAATTCATCTGGATGCAGATTTTGGCAGCAGTTGGCCGTCACACAAAGGGCAGCTCTTTGGGCATTGATGCTGAAGAAATCTAGATACATAAGGCATGCAGCCACGCCTCTCTGAAAGAACCATAAAAAGTTTTTGATAAATTATTTTTGATCAATCAAAGACTATTGATGCTAATGCGTACTACTTACATGTTGTAGAATTGATTTACTGTGACGTCTTGACAACATCTCAAGGGCAGTAAGCGACTGTTCAGCAACATCCATGCATTGAATTACTTGGAGTTTCTCTAAAAACACTGGTACTGCTTCCACAACAGCAGCTGATGATCGTGGCAAAGCTTCCATCATATAAGTGAGCGCTCGGCAAGCATGGTTCATCTATAAGAGAAGGGAAAAATAAAATTGCTATTTTTGGCTTACATTTCAATCCAATTTCAAGCTTAGAACAACACTCACAATATCGAAGTTGTGATCCATAGTTAAGAGAGCAATGAGAGCTGGCACCACTTGTTTCACAGGGAAACCTGCCAATGTGTCTTCATTGCCCATCACCAACATTTGGCACATCTCAATAACAGCTTGGAGCTGCTGGCCCTCATCACCAACTGCTTGAAGGCCAGTGAGCTGCTGTTGTGCTTTGGAAGCAGCTAAGATAATCAGACCAAAACACCAAACGATTACAATAGGTACAGGAGACAGCGCATACTAATTCAGAAGTAACGATATACATGGAGCAAAATTTAATCTAGGAGACACTTACCAGAGTTGGCTCCCATGCTGCGATGAAGCAAGTGCTGCATGCGAGGCCCTAATGCGCCCAGCAGGTGAGGTGGCAAGCCCCTGGCCTCCAGCAGGGCCTGGAGACGTCCCACTTCACTGTCATCGCCCTCACTGTCCACTGCAGTGCCGGTCAGGCCCGACGGGCCTCCAGCAGCTGCCGACGGCGCAGTGCTGCTTGAACCTGGAACCAAACAGTGTTAGAACCCACAGGAAAGGGAAAGGGGAGGGCAAAGGAGGAAGAGGGCGACACTCACCGGACGCTCCTTTGGCCGTCTCATCCCCTGCGGCCACTCCGTTTTGAGAACCACTGGCTGCATCGTGATGACCCTGGCCTGAGGACATCCCCTCTGCAGTGTTCGATGTAGCACTCGAGGGTAAGGGGAGCTTCCCAGACCGGGATGTCCGCCGACTGCCAACAAAACGTTCAGGTTCAGCAAAGCAAGATCGGCAACAACAAGTTGAGGCCTTGAGTCTAGTCTCACCTTGTGCTGGCACAGGACCCCGTGTTGGCTTGACTCCTGGTGCTGCGTCTTAACACCGGCCCACTGCCACTGCTGCCGTTGCCGTCTACTGCCGCACTGCCCGCGGCCTCCGCCTCCTCCCTCCTAACACCGGTTGCGTGAGAGGTACCTACATGCCAAAACAATGTTAAAGTCATCCGCCCAGGGAACGCTTCGTTTCAAATCACTTCACATCCTTCCTTTCTTAAGGCTTTGTTAATACAAGTGAGTCTCGAGGCAGTAGCATTAAGTAAAATAGAGGCAGTGACATTGTTAGAAGAAAAAAAAAATAGAAAATCTAAACCTTTAGTCAGTCAGCTCAACGCAACTCACCCAGATTTTTGGTTGAGTCTATCCCAACTTTAGCCCTCTTCCGAGGAACAGCCCTATTGCTCGGGGGCGAGGCGGAGGCGGCCGCCGCCTTGCCTCCACCACTCCGCAGCGTGTACTTTCTACCCGAACCTAAGATCAGGCCAACAATCAGCATACAACTCAAAATCTTCCAAGCATCAGAGTACACAACAGTGCCAAAGTGCTACAAATTCTCTTTCTCAAACTCAAGATCACAAACTCAATGACCACTCTTCTCCATAAGTATATTTGTGCTTAGCACATTTCAAAAACTCAGATTGCAGTTAACTTTTACTGATATAAAACAAGTTTTAGAGAGGAAAAAAAACACAGATTGTGATCATTGAAGCAGTGACCTTAAGCAAAGGGTGCAAACAATAGTAGTCCAACATACATCAACCTAGGGAACATGAGGACTGATTTACTTGAGAGAGACGATAAATTTCTCAGTGAAATTCACCTAAACATGATATAGACCTCAGCAGTCCAGATGCGCTACAAAGGAGCTTCAATTGGATTATAAGCAAAACAAAGCATGATTTTGACAAAATATAGAAGAGCCATTTGCCAAAGAAGACTTCATCCCCATTCAAGGAAATATTCAATAATTTAGTGAGCACAAATAATGTACAAGTGTAAAAAGCAATCTTTTTTGTATTGATAGAGAAAAAAAGCTTAAGTTTTTCTTTGCTAATTGTATAGAGTAATCTAATGAAATGAAAATACTAGGACTTCTATTATTGGGTAGAAAGTGGTTGATTATATGTCCACTACTAACTGCTTTGATACAATAAGATTCAAAAGCAACAAAACTGATTGCCACAAACAAATGCCCATGACAATTGTATAATCCACAAGACTTAATGGAAATGTCATGCAACTAATTAATTCAAACTTTCATGGAAAATTGTGCCTGTAGTGACTGCAAGTTGGAAGGATCATGCATAATCAAAACTGAATCAACAAACAATTTACCTGAACCAGATGGTTCCGGAGCAAGTTCCCTCTTTCGGACTCCTCTTTGGTTGCTCTTTGCAGCTGAAGCAGCTGCTTTAGAGGTGCTACTTCTTGTTGAACTTGAAGTATCAGCTAAGTGTGAATTTCGGCTGAGTGAAGTACTAGGTCCAGCAGTGTCTTGGGCTTGTTCTGAATTGCGTGACCTGCTTCGACTGCTTGATTCCTGTTGTGATAATTTGTATTAGAAAATTAGCATGCTTTAGCCATATGATTGCTGGGCATGGTGTTAACCTACCTTAGCCTTTGGTTTCCTGGACTTGGAAGTGGAAGTTTCAGTCGCTGTAGCAGTGGGTTTGGGTTTAGCAGCAGCACGACTACTTTGAGCAGAACGCCTTGAACGAGAGGTACCTTTGCTTTGACATCCACTATCCACAGAGCTAGTTAGTTCACCTACAGACAACATAGAATGTGGAGTTAACATGAATCTAGAAGTAAAATCAAATCTGTGAAGGTAGAAGTTCAATACACACCTAAATCTACAGCTTTACTAGAACTTGCTTTTGAGCCACCCCTAGAGCGACTGGATTCGCTACTTTTGCTGTTAAATTAAAAATGCATGATTAACATACAGTGCAAATTGCAATAAAAATGCTTGACACATATCACAAGAACAGAATTTTAGGTTGAAAGGAGAGCTCTTAACCACAAACCTTTTAGATGCTGTTGTACTTGAGACGTTACCACTGGAGCCAGCAACAGAGGTGTCAGGAGGATTGACCTCGACAGAGGAGGACTGTGCCACAGACACGGACGAGTTACTGTCTTTCCTGGAAACAGAACAACAACACTTGATAAGGAAATGCTCAGAGGGAAAACAGTTGAAAGTCTCCTGCATTGTGGACTTGCCTTCGCGTGGCGCGGCTTCGACCTCGTCCTGCCGCCGGGGCGGAGGGCGCCGTAGTGGTCACGGAGCCCGCCGACCCCGAGCCTGACCCCGAGGCAGCGGCCGCGGAGGACGCGCTGGTGGCGGAGGCAGAGGCAGAGCTTGCAGCCCAGCTGGAGGCCGCGCGACTACTCCCTGCCCGCGTGCCGGCGGAGCCTGCCTCCTTGTCCTGGCGGCCCTGGCGGCCCTGGCGGCCTCGTTTGGGTCGCGAAGTCCAACGGTCGGGAGACGAAGACGAGCTCCCGCCGGAACTGGGCCGCTTCCTACTACTTTTCCGCCTACTCCTGCCGAGCAAAATCCCAGAGATAAAAGACGAAACAAAGCGGGGGAAGAGAAAAACAAACGGGTAAACAATTGCAAAAATTTACATCTTAATTGTTCAAGAACTGAAGTCAAATCATTTTATTTTATGGCGCAAAAGTACATAGTTGATCAAGATGTTTTGGGCTATCAACAAAACAGATTTTAAATAAAGAAAAATCTTACATGATGGGGAAATTATCTACATCAAACTAGACATAACCCCTGATACACAGCCATAATGGCTAGTGCATCCCTTTACAGTCAACAATGGAATACTTGGATGGAAGGCTTCCATGGCAACCAAAATATGTGTCATTAAGACTTTTCGGACGGATAACTGAGAAAACTGAGTCCGCAGGATGTGGCGATGCGGCTAATATAAGTTGTGACATCAGCAGTTAAGTATATTAACGCGGAACATGAATCCTAAGAGGATGAGGTAACAATTCAAGTGGGCGCAAGTGCTTGTGCTTTTTTAGTTAAAACAGCTAACCTATGACAGATATAATCTCATCTTAATCAGCTTAAGGTGCAACTAATCACATACCTGGCCGTGTTTGTCACCCCTAGAACTGTAGTAAGAGATTCCGACCCCCCGAATACGCTGTTAGGTTGCTCGGCCATAGACGCTCCTCATCTGCTCAGTCATGCCACAATCAATATGCCTGTAAACAAATAATTATTGTTTTAGTAAGAAGCATTAAACAAACAAAACACCATGTCCACACCGCTCAGTTTGTAATACAACACAACTCTCACTGGAGGGATGTATTCAAATGGATAAGTACAGCAAAATTCCACATTTAAGAGCCCCATGCATATCATATGTGATCATAATAAACAAATCAAGAATGGTAACCAAAACAATGATTATAAACTAAAGAAAACAAAAATTGGGAAGTAGTATTTGGTCTTGAATCTTCTAAGTAATAAAGCTTCGTTCAGAATGTTTGAAATGAACCTTTGTTCAGAATGTTCGTGCTTTTTAAAGACCAATACTGTACAGGATTGAACAAATTTAACCATCAAAACAAAACTTAACAAGACTAGGTTAGAGAATAACTCTCAAGCAAAATGAATTTAATCGAGTTCACAGAGATAATACTTGCTGCAAAATTCAATGGCTCAATCTTTAGACTCAAATTTCCGACTTGGGCAAGTTTGTGTTTCGCACCCCTCCACAGAGACACAACGTGCGGAGGTGTACAGCGAGTTCTGGAAAAACCATGCCAAGACCAATGTTCTTGCTACACTGTACTCGCGACTTTTTTTTCTCACTCGCACTTTAACACGACGCGCGCGTGCACCCCTCACACACACACACACACGCGCAAACATACGCCAATTCAAACATTGAAAGAACGTATAGTAACGAAATGAGAGTCTCCCGACGATATTTTCTTATTAACATTGTGTACTAACAGAGTTCATAAGGACTTAATTTTCTTCCAGTGTAGAACAAGCGATAAGGACTTGACGAGTTGCCTTTCTTGCAGTAGTACGTCCACAAAAATTGCGACACGTCCCTCATGAAGTATAGAGAAAAGCTAGAAGAATAGCGAGCCGGAATTACGAACGTGCAATACGCTCATCGAAATTCAACCGAAAAACCGCAGGTTGAAACTTGTCTAACGGGTTATTTTTGTCTACACTTCCAGGCCAAAATCGATGATCTAGGTTTTCCACGTATAGGGCACAAATACTGAATGGTTATGGAAGCCATTCAAGCAATGCTTCAAGTGTGAGATGCACTTTGCTTTCTACGAGAAGAGAAGCCTCAAAATTTCGAAATAAATGCCGTAGTTTCAATTGCAACGCAGACAAAAGGAGTCGGAGTCACGATCCACCATTACAGAACATCAGGCTTCCGTGGCTCGCTGAATTAGTGACAAAAGCTAGACAGAAGCGATGAATACAAGTCTCATTTGTACCTCCTTAGTTGATCCAGAATTGAGGAAATCTAAATTTAATTCCTAAAGTAATACCCGATCCCTAGGATGTCAACTATTTGACTTGTTTCACCATCGCACTCAACTGAGCCAAGCGCTTCGGAATCACTATGCCTAAACCTGCACTGCATGCATCGCCCTCTTCTGTTCCGCGCCGCTCAACAAAATAGTTCTCACGTTTTCGGAATCAACCCTGACAAGTCTGGCAAAAGGTTCTGAAAAGCTGTCAAATCACTAACGAGACATAATATTTGGTTCGCTAGAAGACAACTCTGAAATTAAGGATGCTTTAAGTATGCTTTTACCCAGCATCAACAGCTGTTCGCGGATTGTACCATATCATTGCGCTCTACTCCTCCGCCATTGGCGCCAATTTTAAAGTAGAGTCGTGTTTCCTCTATCGGCGCTCCATGGTCTTTATTTTTATTATCAAAATTATTAGTTTTCTGAATTTACCCTGAGTTACAAGGAAAATCAAAATTTAATAAGATGCTGAATGTTTTATTTCATTTGACTACAAGACATGTAATTTAACAGAAAACAGAGACACGCCAATAAAAATAATATTGTTACATAGGATTAGAATCTTTTTATGACCACACACATCAAGAACATAAACAATTTAATGATTAAGTACGAAACAAGGTTAAGTGTTTAAAGTACAGTTGATATTTAAAAAATATGAATTTGCATAAAAATGCAATGACATAATAATTTGCATGATAACTGCCTCCACTTTGGCATGCTATCAGGGTGTACTCTCAGAATCACATGACCCATACAAAAGCTGCCGTAATTCGAGACCTGCCTCAAGATCGTCATCATTATGATTTGCAGTAAGAGACAAGTGTCTCATTTGGGTAGATGGAGATGGGGCGCTTTCAGAAGTTGGAGACATTACCATTGATAAAATATCTTGCAGAAGGTCAATATTAAAATCCGCTGGAGGAGGGGTAGTGTGTGGAGCAGGTGCAGGGGAATGAAGTGTCTCTGTGTTTCCTTGCAGCTCTATGTGCTCTAAGAGTGAATTTGAATTTAACTTTGGAGTGTAGGGAGGTAAGACTTTAGAAGTCATTTCATGTCTGACTGGGTTTTCTGAAAAAAATTCATTGAAACCTTTCTCAATTTCATTTCGGACCATCATAATATGTCCTTCTCCAGAAGGCAGGTGAATGTTTGCTATGTTGGAATTTTGATGTTCTTGCTTTATGTTGAGCTGCTGCATTTGCTCCTTCAAAAAAATTGAAGGCTCTTTAAATGATCTTGAAGAGAGAGCTGGCTGTACAGTGCTGGCTCTTTCCAGCTGAAAAAATTATATAAGTTAGAAAACCAATTGAGTTTTGAAATGATTGTTGTTATTGAAAATACAGACCTCTTTGCTTGGTGTTTGAAGCAACTGATGTAGAAGATCACTTGATTGTGTGGGGGCATCTCCTGATGCCTGAGCTACACATTTATGTGTCCTTTGACTTACCTGCAAATATATTAGGTCAAAAAAATGTTACAAAGCAATTCTGTATAAAATGACATAAACAAAACAAGACAAGAAATTCAGAGAGAGTACCTTGTAACGAAAGCTTTTCAAGCAAACTGTGCATTGATATGGCATTGCACCTGTGTGTATTCTTCTGTGGACAAGGTAAGACACCCTTTGTCTAAAACATTTTCCTATAAGCAAAAATATTTTTGTGATAATCCATAGAAAGAAAAACAATTAACTGAGACTATTTTGGTCTTTTATTACCTGGAATGTTTGAATGAGGCTGGAAAATTAATTCACAGAACAAACTCACATGGCAGATTATTTAGCATGCCTGTAATCCAACCTTTACATTTGATGTGTTTCGGGAGTGTTAGTTTAAGCGCACACACAAAGAATATCTGTAAAACATTGTAATAACACACATTCAAAGGGGACAAAATAATGAATCAATGTCACAATAACATTCATAGGTGAAACAGCAACAGAACATTTTCCTAGACTGAAGTTACTGCAAACTTTACTTTGGATGCAACATGCTTCAAGCCTCCTCGCTCACATCAAAAAAATTAGGAGGCATATGGTCGAGGCGAGAACACAAAGCAAGGCAAGAGATTTTGGGAAATTGCTCACAAAATATTAAAAGTAAACAAACTTACCACATGTTTCACAAGCCCATGGTTTTTCTCCTGTATGTATTCTCTGATGGTTATGTAAAGTAGAGAGTTCCTTAAATGCTCTCCCACAATCACTGCACGAATGTGGTTTTTCATCCGAATGATATAGAAGGTGCTTATGGTATGACTGTTGAAATGTGAAAGACTTGTTACATATACCACAAGTGTACGGCATTTCCCCTAAAACCATAAATGAAAAAAGTAAAAAGGAAAGTAATGAAAAACCTACTAGTACACTTTCTGACAATGAAAAGGTCAACGATTCAAAAACTTACCAGTATGCAAACGTTTGTGCTTTTTCAAGAAGTATTTTGTGGTAAATGATTTATAACAAACATCACATTCCCATTGTTTACTGTCATGAGACTTGACGTGTTGAGTTAATAACGCTTCCTGTGGCAAAAAAAAGGTAATCTTTGATTATTATTCCAAAATTGGTTGGAGAACTAAGTGAAAGTTAGGCAGATAAATAAATACCTTGGAAAAAGTCTTGTTACAAAGGTTACAAGGAAATATCATTCCAGTAGTTTCAGGCGGTGCAGTTGGTGGAGACCGTGTAGGTGAAAGTTTTGAGCACATGGTGGCTACTAAACCAGAAACATCTAGTGATGATGGAGCTTGTTCGTGACTAATTCTGTTCATCTCAGTAGCATCAATTTGACTTAAGTTTGTATGATCATTCATCTTCCTATTTGTGTTACCAAAACCACAAAAATCTTCCCGAGATGTGTTAGACACCTTTGATTCTTCGATTGTCAGGTCCTGCAGAGATAATTTCCCCATGAAATCTGTAGGCTGCGTATGTGATGAGGAGCTACCCCGTCGTGAAGCCAATTCGCCTAGAAAATTGGATCAGAAAATTTACTAAAAATTTTGAGCAAATTAGACATTTCAATTATTTTTTTTATGATCTTACCTGATGCATTTGGCGAGTGTGCCACACGTAAGTGCACCATCAGGCTTCCTCGCATTCGGAACACTTTGTTACAAACATGGCATGGGTATTTATGGAGAGGGTTTGCAGCTTCTCGAGAACTACTGCCAGTGGCACTTCTCTTTGACCTGGCAGAGGAAGAAAAATGTCAAGTACAACAAAAAAAAAGCTGTGACAAAATGAAGATTCAAACAACTTACCATTGTTTTGAATGATGACTTCTTTCTTCATTTTTTTGAGCCAACTGATGGTGGTTGTCAATGCAAGGACTAACATTGTGAATAAGTTGCTGGTGAAGCATTGCAATATTGTTATCTTTGAATGAAAGCTCACACATTCCGCAGCTTATTGAATAACCTGAGAAGATGGCATTTAAAAAAATCAAAATTGATTAATTTACAAAAATTACCACTTATATTCTCACAGAAAGTTAATATTCACCGTCAGGTTTGGGAACAAAATTTTCAACTCCACTCTTAGAGTCTAACTCAGCAGAAGCTGTAGAACACACAGCAGAAGTCTGGATATTTGACTCCTGATTATGAACCCTGCAAAGACAGTATATGTGAAATTAGTATGGTTCCTAAAGAAATAAATTGGATCAACATTGGATGACTTAAATACATTCTTACCTCTGTTGCACCATGTACTGAGGGAATGTATTTTGGTCTAACTCAGCTGTCCTGTCTGTCGTGAATAATTTGTCACATATTTTGTCTTTTAATGATGATTCTGGAGGAACATCTTTAGGCAACGGAAGGGAAAAGGTGACAAATTTTACAGGTTCAGTTTGAGGAGATTGGTTCTGAAGCATCTCAAAATTTGACGCAGATGATTTTGACTGCGGAAATGGGGGAAATGCTACTTCTGTTTGGGGTGGATCTTTGCAGCTCGACATTACTGAGAGACCTACATCTTGAGTAGGGAAACACGAAGTTAATTTCTCCTGTCCAACAACATCAGTTACAGATTGCTCAATCCCAGTTCCTTGGCTCGCACTTTCTATTGATACATTTTGTAATGTGGGAAAGTTGATTAAAACATATGAAGCTACTGCGTTTTCACTTTTACTTTGCTGCTCAGTAGCTTGTATTGGTTCCTTAGATGCTGTGCTATTCGAGTTTTCCAGGTCCTGGTTTTTGGGACAAGGTGTTGGAGGTGCATGCTGGGGTGCTGGAAGTTGATTTGTTGCCAGGCAGGCCTGCACCATTTGGTCATGCAGAGAATGGCTGACAAGATGGATTGTCAATTTATCCAATCCACAAAGAATCTCCTGACAAATGGGGCATGATAGTTGTCGGGTGGTGGCACGTATGAGAGTCAACCACAATGAATTCACATCAGGAAAACCAGGCCGAGAGCACAGTGGGCAAACAATAGATAGGTCCATTTCTTCACCTGAAAAGTAAAGGAAAGGCATGAGTCATTACAAGTATGGCAGTCTAAGCACCATTAAAAACATGATGAATCATAATGACACAAGTAAAATATAAACCTGTCAACTAAAACTATTCACTAATCAAAACAAAGAATATGAACATACAAACACGATAATGTGTCATCAATTCGTAAAATTATTGGGTAAAAGCAGATCGCTGTTCATAACCTTACTCACCAAGTTACACATCAGGGGCATAAATTCAGAGTCATGAGACTTTTGAACGAGTTCTCGTCTTGCAGTCAGTATGGCTCACAGAGGTAAGTCACACTGGGATAATTGCGTGTCAACGAGAGGAAATCTCCATTGACCTAAAAAGTAGCACAACATCCATCACCAGCCGTTTTTATTAGCTACTGTCCTGAACAACAACAACATCACACAAAACAAAACAACAACAAGAAATAGGCAAGCATCATGGCGGCCCCCATGCACTATTTATGCTGCTGAGTGCACGGACAATGTTCAGCACAGCCGAAAGATTGAAGGAACGAACGGGGAAGAAAGGTTTGCCCCGCTTTGAGTATTTGCAGGAGCTTGTCACGGAGTTTCAGGACACTACAAGCACTGGTGTGTAAATTGAAAATGCTTTTAACCTCTCAGCACTTTGCTTGGGATTTACAGCTGAGCTCAAATCGTTATGCGGTACCTCTGTTGAAGTAGTCAAGCCCTAACTAATCGTTAATAAAATTTCTGGTTAATTTGTGTGTTTTTCCAGAGGCCAAACAACAGGTCCTTGCAAACTTAGCAAACTTCGCCTATGATCCGATAAACTACGACTTTCTACGAAACCTCAAAGTTATTGATCTCTTTCTTGACCAATTAGCGGAGTCTGACAGCATTTTGCAACAGTATGCCATCTGTGGTCTTTGTAATTTGTGTCTAGGTATGAATATATAATTTAAATAAATATTGTTTACTTATGTGAATTGATGTACTTTTCAGCCGTTTAACTCCATATCTTTGGTTTGTCTCTTCCAGATCCTCAGAACAAGGAGTACATCATTCACAACGGTGGCGTTCAGGCAATAGCAATCTGTCTCTCATCTGCCAACGAGCAGACAGTACTCTCTGCTATTACTACCCTGATGTTCCTCATTGCGCCCGAGTCCAAAGATCGTGAGTTTCTCTCGTATTCTTGAGATAGTTTGCATAACTTGATAATGTAAGCCTTGTCAATCTGCGAATCCATATCTGTGAACCCACAATGAGCAGTTTGCTTCCCACTGAGCTTGGCCAACATTGTTTCAGTGAAGTGGGAAGTGAGTGCGCTCTGAGTCCTTCCTTGTCGTGCTTGCAGTGATCACCGCGGTGGAGATAGTGGAGTGCATGGTGCGCCTCTCCCGCAGCGCCAACCCTCGCCTGCGCAACCTGGCCACCGTGTTCCTGGAGGACCACTGCACGCCGGCCCAGGTGACGGCGATCCGCAAGCAGGTGGAGACGGCCAGCATCCCGTTGCCGGCGTCGTAGAGGTCGCCGTCGTGGAGGTCACCGTCCTGGAGGCCGCCGTCATGACGTGGGCGCGGTGGCGGGGCCCGGCGGCGCGGCTGTGCAGACTGCAGAGGCTTCAGCACACGCAGCCTCGGCCCAGGGCGTCGCTCAAGCCCGGCGAGAAGGCCACGCTCGTCCGCCGCATCACCGAGGCCGACGTGCGCGTGTTCGGCGCGCTCTGCGGCGACGCCAACCCCGTGCACTCGACGGGCGTGCCCTCGGGGCCGGCGGACGGCGGGGCGAGCCGCGTGCTGGTGCACGGCGCGCTACTCAACGCCCTGGCCTCGGGGGTCATCGGCTCCCAGCTGCCCGGGCCCGGCTCCATCGTCGTCGGCCAGAACCTCCGCTTCCCGCGGCCGTGCCTCGTCGGCGAGGAGGTGACCGTCGTGGTGGAGGTGAAGGAGGTGCGCAAGATCGTGGAGGTGGCGTTCCGGTGCATCGTGGACGCCGCGTCGGACCAGCCCAAGGTGGTGATGGAGGGCAACGCCAAGCTCATCATGGCCGAGCTGGCGGGGCCGTCTGCCAGCGGGGAGGGCGGCTAGGCCTTCCCTTCCCCCGCGGCTCGCTCAAGAGCCCCCGTTTGTTATTGTTCCATCGAGTCAGGAGCGTAGTCTTTTCCAAGCGCCGTTTTTAATAAAACTTAATTATGTAAATGAGAAAAGGTGAGAGTGACGACTGAAATAAAGTGGTGATCTTTTTGTACTGGCGGAGTTTCCTTCCCTGAATCCTTCCTTGATCGACGTAGTCTAGGGCTGGCGGGCAGTGGCGGGTTGGTTGCGGCGCGGCGCTCATAGCGGCGATCGCAGGCTGCTTCCGGAGAACCGTTCTGTCGCTCTGTCTCTGTCGCACTCGTGGGGGCGTCCCGCTCAGTCGGGGCGCGAGAGAGACGGAGGAACGAAACGGCTCTTCGGAATGGCTCGACTGGGGCGAGACTGGGAGACACGACGGCCGACCGGGCCGACGGCGGGGCGTCAACATAATCGCATTGTTTCCGCGGGTAACGAATTTCCCCTTCTTCGCAGCGCTCCGGTCGCTCCGCAGCTCCGCGACGCGTCCCTGGTGTCCCACCAGTGTGCCTGCCCACCAGTGTGCCCACCAGTGGTGGGTCTCAGGCTGGCCCGCCCCGTCCGTCCCGTGTCGCTCCCAGCCGTGGACAGGCGAGGACTGGGCGAGGACCGGGGTCTGCCGCCCCGCTGCCTGCCGCAGGATTGGGTTAGGTCGCGCGGATTGGCTCATACTGTATCGAATTGTGGGCCGAATTGGATTTGAATTGGCTTACATTGAATGGAATTGGGCAGGCCGGCTGGCAGCGATGACCACAGCGTGCGGCGACGCTCGCGCTCTCCCTCTCTCTCGTTCCTCGTTCGGGGAAAAAAGAAGTCCTGCCAGAGCCTGACTCTGAAACCCACGGCAAACTTTTCCAAAAATCCACCTTTCTTGTTTCGGGGCAGTCTCAGCCAGCCCCTGCTGGGCAATCCAACTGACGCGGCGCCAGCGGCCAGCTCCTGGCGCTTCTGGTTCACCGCCTCTTTTAATGACACCGCACCTCACTGGACACCTTATTGTGTGCTCTGGGGCAAAAAATAAAACAGACGAGGGGCGGGGCGGCGAGGCCTCCGGTTGCGAGTGGCTGGGGTGAAGTTCTCTCTAAGCAAGTCAAGTCCGCACTGCCTGCCTGGCGGTCGCTGCCGTTGTTATTGTGACATTCCGCGGGTTATGAAGCGAGTCCCTGCGTCGGCATGAGCCACTCAAGACTTCATATCGGCGCATTTGAAATTCTAAAAAGCCTGAAAGGGCTTCTTCATTCCTCCGTCTCCCCACGTAATCACGACACGTGTTACCTCGTGCAGAGGCGCCCGGGCCAGGAGACCTGCCCAGGCGGACACAACGCTAGACGCGTTTTCAGCTCAACACGTACAATCCCTATGGAGTTCGGATCAAACACATGGAAGTGGGAAACAGCCCCTAGGTCGTGGATGTTCAATCCATTAGTTTGATCCGAGCGTCACGTTACAGTGTCCAACTAGTTCAGAATTACCCCCACCAGGCTGGTGCCGATATTCGAGACGCTTTTTGTTTTTCCCGGAGATGCGGGTGCGCGATGTCGGTAGAGGCCGCCTAGAGGCCGCCGGGCCGAGGCAGGGCCGTGCCTCATGAAACTCGGCCCAATTCCTGCAGGAGGCCAACGAGGCCAAGGAGGCTCTCCCCACCCGTATCCACCTTCGAGTGTCCCCATCGTTTAGGTCGAAATTGTCCTCCCCAGCCGGCCAACTTCTTATATCCCTGCTCGTCCCCCCTCCCCCTGTCCACCCCTCCCCCTGTTCATAACATTGGCTTTCATAAGGCGTGTACCGTGCGGAAATGAAAGCCCCTCCCCCTCTCTCCCCGGCGCCGCCAACCCCTTCTTCACTTGACCCTTGAAGCGCTCTCCACTCTTTCCTTACGCGGACTTCACTCCTGCCTCCTCCTGGTTCACCACATGGGCCGCGTTCCGCAATTACGGTCTGGCCTCTTACACACACACACACGTACACACACTATCACACACACACACACGCGCCGCGGCGCCGCGGGGATCGTTTGCCACACCACATGCGTCTTCCGTAATGGTTTTAGTTTTTTTTTTCGACGACGCGGTCCTCTGCCGTGCGAGCGCACCTGACATGGGAAGGAAAGGTTAAGGAGAGCTGCGGCGAGGCGCGGAGAGAGAAAAGAAAGGAAGGAATAAGGTGGGGGCGAAAAAAGGGGGGGGGGAAGAAAGAGAGAGAAACTTTCCCGCCACCATCAGCAAACGTCGGCACGGTCCAGTCTGTGGCGTTTCAAACTCTCCAGCGGTCCAACTTGTCGACGAATCAGCTCATTCCGTTCCCCGCCTCTCGTATCGAACTCCACGCGCCGTTTCTTCCTCCTCTCTGTCTCCCCTTTTTTCTCTGCGTGTGTTGACCGAGCTGCCAGAAATCTGGTTCTAAACCCAATCAAAACTCGCACCCCTTCCGATGTGAGGCGTCTCCTTTGACGGTGTGCCGGGCGCGGCAAGCGCCACGCCGCCGCCTCGCCGTGCAACCCGCAAGGCCCGCGCCATACCCTGCAAAAAGAAGAAGAAGAAGGAGAAGAGATTGAAACGCCAACGCATCACTCGGCGTTTCCGAAAGTTCCGCGGGCTCGAAGATAGGGGCTGCGCTCTGCCACGGCAGCAGTAGCAGACCGATTCCTCGAGTCGTTCTTCTCTCTCTCTCTCTCTCTCTCTCTCTCTCTCTCTCTCTCTCTCTCTCTCTCTCTCTCTCTCGCACCTATAGCGGACGCTTTATGAGTGCGAGGAAGACAGCGACAAAAACGACTCTCGGAATCAGTCTGCAGCGCTGCTCAGTGGATTTCTATTTTTTTTTTCTTTTTTGCCGGGCGATGCCAAAGAAGAAGGACGCAGACGCACGCTGGACGCTGGTGTAGGCGTACTCACTGTCAGTGTACTCGAGTCAATGTTTGCGGTGGCTTATTAAGGCAGCCCGGCTCTATGGCGGGCAGTGGGCCCTTGCCTAACACGCCCCCCCCCCCTTCCCACTCCCCCCCCCGTCATGTTGCACTGCACACCCACACGCATGGAATCTCTCTCCCCCATATTTTGATTTCCCCCCCCCCTTCATCTTGCCATGTGTGGGCGTCGAGCCTGTGGGCGGCTCATACTTTTATCTCTCCATAACGGTGTCTGGTCAGAAATTAAGGAAGCAAAATTAAGGATATGTGGACAGCTGGCATGGGTGGTCCTACTCTACATCATGCACCGGGGCACGCCCTCGACACAGTCCATGTGCCCCCCCCCCCTTTCCCCCTTCCCTTTCCGGCCGCCTTCAACCCCTGTGTACTGTGACGGCGCCAACCAGGGCACACACACTCACACACTGTCACATCGAAGATGGAGCGGCATGGACATAGAACATTGTGTGCATGTCCGCCTGTGTGTGGGTGAGGCGTGCGTGAGTGTGCGCACATGCGAGTGTGTGTGTGTGTGTAACCAATAAAGGCAGTCCGGCCTATCCCTTCGGACTAGACTGATGGATTTCCTAATCCATTGATGGATAGGGCCTCACTAGTCGCAAGAAGACCCAATTCGCAAAAAAAAAACAACAGCAATGTTTTTCGTAGTTTTTTTTTCGGTCCAATATAAGGTCAGTTGGGGTAGCACTAAGGACGGTGTGAAAACGGCCCCTTTCCACCCCTTTCGCGGCAACCGGTTGTACCGGGGGCTGGCGACTAGCCTGCGACTAGCCTGCGCCGTGGCGCGGTGGGGGCGGCGGTGGCGGCGGCGTGCAGTGCGCGGGGGCCGCGGCGGGGGCCGTGACGGCCGTGACCACCACGCCATTACACCCCCCCCGGCCGCCCCCGGCCGCCCCCGGCGCCATGGCGCGCCATGATGGCGGGGGTATATCCGTGCCCCACACTGGACCAACCACCTGGAAATTGAATTGCCGTGCGGCGCTGCGAGGGGACACCTGTCCGGCCTGCCTGCCTGCCTGCCCCCACACGCACGCCCACACACACACGCGCAGGCCTCGCGCCCACGGCCTGCTGACTCCATTCATGGCCTTCATGGGCCTCGCCGACACGGCCGTTGTACGCCCGTCCGCCTGTCTGCCGTCTGATTCCAGACAGAGCCCGCGTCGCTCTGTCTCTCTCGCGCACCGAGGCGCTCCCCGAGTGCGAGAGAGACGGAGAGGCGGCGGGTCAGAGTTCTGGGATTAATTAGCCCTGCAGTCCTCCTGAGTGTCCTGAGTCGGACAAAAGAGGCTTTTTGCCCGCGAGGCTGTGGAGTGGCCGTGGCCCTGCCCGCCACTGCAACGGCGAGGCGGCCGAGGTGGCCGCGGCCCAGCGAGGGACAGTCGTGCTCCACTTTGCGTCATCCATCACCCCAAACTTTTGAGGCCGGACGGTCAATGCTATTCAGTGCCTGGCCCGGCAAGGCCCGGCAGGGCCCGGCTCGCCGCGCGGCGCGTATCTAAGCAGCGGAGCAGCAAGGCAGCGCGCGTCCCCGCGGAGCCCCGCGCCCAGCGCCACGCGGCGGTGTTACACTGAGCCACATTGGCGGGCCGAGGCCCGTGGACCTGATTCGCAATCGCGGTTTCCGCTCTCTGGCTTCGTCCACGCGGTCCTCGGTCTGTGGTCGCCCTTGAACGAGGAATCCGTCGGCACCACACACGGCCAGCTCGACTCCCAGAGCTCAGAACGCGCGGCACGCCGAATAAGGTCCTCCCCTTCGGTCCACCGCACCTTGCCGCCCAGTGTGCCCACAAAGACGGCGCGTCCAGGACGTCCAGGCTCGCCAACTAAAACTAGGCAATTACGGCGCGCAGGCCGACCGCCACCGCCGCCACCACCACCACCGCCTCGCGCGGCAAGTTGGTCAAAGTGATAAGCACGTGAATGGCTGTTATGTTGGCAGCCGTAAAGCTCGCCGTGAGATACAACCGGCCTGCATGTCGCTGTTTGCCGGGCGATAAGGGGGGGGGGCGGCGCGGGGGCGGTGCGCGCAAAAACATATCAGTCCCGCGCGTGTTGTTACTACTAGTTAACCAGTCTAAACTTCTATGCGACCGAGTTGTTTTTTATGCCTACCACTATTTACTTCGGTGACACCGCGGAGGCTCCGTGCCAATGCATCAGCCCCAGTCACCCGGCCCCGCCCCGCCCCGCCACCGCCACACACAATG